GTATCAAAAATATGCTTATGTGATATTTGAATGGCCCAGAATTAGGTTCAAATTGCGAGTTATTTATTTATTGCTTTCATTTTGGGTAGTTTATGTTTTATACTTTTTTTTAACTTTTATATTGGATTATTTTAGCAAACATTTTTTCTAAGATTTAACCCCTTCGCGTTAATGAAAAAAAAAAAATACAATTAAGGTATCAAAAAAAAAAACTTTTTTGTTGTTGTTATTTTCGCATTTAATGCTTAGTTTGAAGCTTAATGAAAATTACATCGATTTCTCCTAATTTTCTTAATTTAATAAAACTGATGTGCATTCTATATAAATTTAGGNAGTTAAAGAGTTTTAGGCACAGCAGGAAAACACAAGTAATATTCTACTCAAAATTTTTATAAAATGATTTAAAACTAACATTTTGTTTTACACAAAGTATCATTTTTATTTTAAATTTAAAAACGTAAATGGAAATGATCCGATCATGTTCTTCTGAAACTTAAATTAAAAGTAAGCCAAGGAGCCCCCCAAGGCAATAGAAAAAGAGGATGGCCTAAAAATAATTGGCGAAGGGTGATTATAAATGAACTGTAAACAATAGGAAAAACTCGGATAGAAGCAAAATATCTGGTCACAAATAGAGTAAGATGGAGATATTTGATAGACGCCCTATACACCAATCCAAAGTGAAGAGGAATATGCACGTTACCTTAAAATTATCGTACTTGCAGTATAAGTAAAATATAAAGCTAAAATCAGGGTTGCGACTTTTTTTTATATAAGCATGGGGTCTGTGATTCGCTATATTTTACAGGAAGGAGTCCATAAGTATCAAAAACATGCTTTTGTGATATTTGAAGGATTCTGATTTAGGTTTAAATTGCGAGTTATTTATTTATTGTTTTCATTTTGGGTAGTTTATATTTTATACTTTTTTTTAATTTTTTATATTGGACTATTTTAGTAAAGTTGTTGTTGTTTAAAGCCTAATGAAAAATACATCAATTTCTCCTAACATTCCTTATTTAATAAAACTGCTGTGCATTCTATATAAATTTAGGAAAGAAATAGCGATTCAGATTGAAATTCATGTTTTTTTTAAAAAATTTTTTTGCGTATTTAATTATATTTTTAAAAGCATTTATAGATCATCAAAATCGAAGATCAACAGGACCCTTCACAGAAGTTAGTAGTCTAAATAAATAGGATTTTTTTTAAAAAAACAAATGTGTATGTTTTATTTTAAAGATAATCATTTATTTATTTGTTTTATCGGAAACCTTTTTAACTGTTTACTTCGAAATTGTTTGATTTTGCGCAAAATAACTATTGCTGTTTACTGAAAAATATAACTCCACAGTAAACTTTTCTAATAGGTGTTTTCATAATTGAAAAAAAAAAAAATCCTTCGTATCAATCTGTTAGAATAGAAATCAGTTAGGATGGTTAAAATCATTTAGGCGCTGCATAATTTTTTTTTTTCAATACTTGGCACTACGGTCTTCTCGTTTTTTATTTTAATTTTTGAGCCAGACTCTCTTGCAATGCAGTTGATTTTCTTATGCATGGTAACTCTTGTGTTGAGCACCGTGTAGTCGTTTCCAGTTCTTAATTCATTGATCTCGATATTCAATCATAAGTTTTGTTTTAAAAAATATTATGACTGTTGGTATTTATAATTATTGGTTAGCATAATTTGTTTAAAATTATGTATAAATCGTAATGAGGTAATTTTTAAGATAAGGGAAACAAATTTTTTTTTTTTTTGACGTACATACTTTACGTGTTAAAGTAAATGGTTGTTTATAATTTTCCAAAATCTATATTATGTAATTCGAATTTGCAAGATGTTAATCTGCATAGCCCCACGTGTTTCAACAAAAATGTCGAAACGCGAGTTACTAAAAAAAACATTTAGAGGCAGGTGTTCATATAAAAAATTATTCGATAGAACTTTCAAAGGTGCTGGTTGACGCAAAAATATATCTGTAGTTAACAGTTCAATCAGCTGTCTGGAATAAATTGATGCAGCTAAGTAAATATCATATTTCACATTGGCATTTTATTTATTTACCTAATCTAAGTGAAATTGCGCACATTTTAATATAGTTAGATATTCCAATGTTTTATGTTCTAAATGGACGATTTATGATATTCCAATGTTTTATGTTCCAAATGGATGATTTATAAGATTTTATCTATACTCAATAGTTTTATAGCTAGGTATCTTGACATTTTCCCACAGGTTTTCTACTATAAGATATATTGTTAATATTCAACACATTACAATCAGACTTACTCGCTTTTTGAAAATTTAACTAACTAAAATGGAAAACCAATTTCATCATAGTTGTCAACGTTAATGATACATTTTATTTTTCATATTGTAGGCCAGTGGCTTGCCATCATTTGGTATTGCTGAAGCGGTTCTTTTTATTAACATTTCAGATAGCTTCGCTCGTTTATTTCACTTTAATCGTCTCATTACGTTTATGCTTAATATTCCATTTTTTACTTTATAATCGTAGTTGAACAACCGATCTAATTTTGAGTTTACGACTACCTACCTTCGTAGCCTTTTAACTTTGAACCCAATCCACAAGGCAAAAGAACGCCAGGATCAAGTATGGGAGAAATTTTGCCTCCGAGGAGGACATTTATAGAACTAACCGGCATTTGTGTTTCATGGAGAGGAAAACCTAGTCTGACGGCAAGGGGACTCTAACCCATAATCCGTCAACACTGCGGTCTGTGCGAGCCGGGGGTGGAGAATCTCAGCCATCGCTGAGATTCGAAAACATCACACTGAGGAGAAAGCTCCATGCCTTGAGCCACAATCGGTCATACTTTAATATTAAAAGGCTGAGCCCTTGTCAACCGCTGCAACTGATTGCGCACTTCTGCAACTGATCGCGATTAGAAATAGTTTCGCTTTGATTTCACCTAAGAACTCCAGCTTTTGAGAATTTATCTTTCATTTATTAGTATCCTATTTCATGCTTTAAATATCCTTAATTTATATTTTAAATTCTTTTATACTAGAATCTAAAAACAACACTTCGGGTTGTTGGCGTTGCATAGTTTGGATTGTCCATGGGGCTGCTCAAATATTACGTAAGCTTCATACGGGAGGGCTGGGGTATGAGCACTGCTTACTAAGTCATAAAATTCCATTCACTTCAAAATAAATTCAGCACAAAAATGAGCAAAACAGTTATTTCGCGGGAAGAAAAACTTCTTTGAAGAATTAACAACGTCAACAGTTTTGAACACCAAAGTTTTTTAAAGAATATTCTACCTAAAATTTTATGAAATGAATTAAAATAACTTTATTTAATGCTAAGCTGCATCTTCTTTCAGAACTAGGAGGCATAATTGTTTTTCTTTCCCTTAAATGAAAATATCTTTCACAAAATCAAAAGAAGTGTTTTCAAAATATACAATTATCGTCGTTTGTAAGAACATTTCGTTAATGTGCTATTCGTAACGAAATAGACGATTACCTGGATCGGAAAAAATAATCAGCTGATTTTGAAAAAGCATACAGATTGTGTGACTCAATAAGAAATAAATTAGAAGTTATTGTACTCGTTGACGTGATCTATAAACAATTGAAATAGGAAACGGTTTTTATCGTTTTTTTTAACTTTCAAAAATTTCTCTATAAATAATAAGATTTATATCTAGCAATAATCTCTTTTCTTTTCTGCAACTTATAACTGACACCTAGTTCAGTAAAAGAGAACAATAAATTTTCCTCAATGGATAAATTGTCTATATTTAAAACAAAAAATACCAGGAAAAAGCACTTAATTACAACGACTTTTATTGCTGGCAGAAGTATCTCAATAGTGGGGGCTCTACTTCCTGAATATAGATATAAGTATTGGGTCTGAATTAATTGAGGCTCACCAAATGTCAACCAAGAATTCGAATTTTTAACTTTACGATTCTAAATGTCTTCACGTTTACCTGTAAATTATTTATCTCTCATTTAACAATATCTTTTTCATTCTATTTCACAGTTTTTTAAAAAGTAATAAATGTGTTTTCTATTAACCTGAATCAGTGTAGCATGCTCCAAATGGTTTCAATATTAGTTGAATAAATGCAAACAATTTGGCTCATGAATTTTTATTTGGTGAATTTTTTTTCTAAATTCTGTGTGAAAAAATAACAGATTAAAAATTTTACAAACTATAATATTTGAGTCATTTTTAGAAACTGGGAGACTATTGTGAGTTANATGTTTATTCAGAGAAAGTACGTTTTTGTGTCTGATTTCGTAACTTAATTAATAGTTAGCACTAATTAATTAGCATATTTGAGGTCACCCCCAGGAACCATTAAGATTGACACTTAGTTCGTGAAAATCGGATCATTAGAACGAAAGTTATTCAGGGTGATATCTTTTTTTTTTTGCGGACTGTACATTTTTCTACAGTCGCTTAGTAAGAAGCATGTCTAATTAAATTTTAAACTGAAAAGCAAATATGGATTGAAGGTCTTAATTTATATAGCATCACTTCCCCCCCCCTTCATCTTTACTTCTGACTTACGATTGCAACGGAAAACCTTACCCTCTCCAAACTTTATTTTTGTGAAATTTTAATTGCCACTAAATAAAATTCACAAGCAGTATCTACTCAAAATTAATATAGTTCAAAAGCAAAAATTAGCTATGTTATTTAAAAATATAGATCTACTCCTCTTTGCCAAGGTCAGGGTTACACACAATATCCTATATTTTAAGACCGTTTGATAAAATTTACAGCCATATTTATGTGCTGTGCGAATTTCATTTTAAGCGTAAAACTTTCAATTGTTCCTTGAACCCAACCTTTTGATCGGAATTTTCTAAGCACCTCAAACCAAACACCTCAGTCCAAATTTTTTCAACTATACGCTGGCACTCAAATTTTGATTTGGTATGCTCATTTCTTCAAATGCTCTGATAATTAGACTGTATATAAAAAATTATTTCAAGTTTAAAACAATACATAATATTTAATAAATAATTTTTATTATGACCAGAATCTCATAAAATTTCAATACTATCTCACAGTTACAATTTTATAAACCAAGTTCAATAATAGTTTGATATCACAAAGATTGTGCAAGTTAACTTAAAATTCACTGCATAATAAAGAATAAACTATGAAATGCAAATTCAGCTAATAAAATATTGTGATTTACTATTTACCACAGAAGGCTTTTAAATAAAGTAAGTAGTGTAGGAAAATGGATAAAACGACATATGAAATTTAATTATCAAGGGAGTGGAGAGGCAAAAATCAATTGTAATTACATATTTTGACATTTTTTTATGAAAATAATAAAATGGAAATATTAAACTCTCAAAATACAGAAATAATCATAAGTTTCTTTACAATATATACAGCAATAAATATAAAATCTCAATAAAATTCCTAACTAGCCAGTGTTTGTCATAAAACACTTTCATATAAAGTGGAATAAATTTTTGCTCTATGATCTGGCAAAAAACAAGGAGTTAAAATCTCTTCCATCTCATTAATGCGCTTTTTAAAACGAAGTCTTTCTGTGGCAAAAACTTCCCATTCGCCTTTTCTATCAAACATTTCAATAGGACAGATCTCTTCAAGTTCTTCCTCAGGAGCAAAAGAAACCTGTAATAACAATAAAATTACAGTTTTAACCCTTCGATGAAGACAAAAAACAGCTAATAAACAATTTAAAACTAATATTCGTAAATTTTCACAAAAAATTTAACAAAAATATATTTTATTTAACAAATACAGAAATTAAATATTCCATATTATTGAAGCATGCTTTTGAGAGATTAATAAATGGAACAATTATTGGGATCCTTTGCCATAATGACATATACACATGGAGAAACTAATACTTATCCTATAAATTAGAGCTTATTGAAATCAAATTATCAAGAAAGTGTTTCTAAATCCTCAATAGAAGTCATGGAGTTTCTTCTAGTACAGAAAAAAAAGTATATCCTAAATTACAACAAATACAACCAATAAGCAGTCACTTAAAGGTTGAAAAATGAAAGGGCTGTACGATCCCCCCTCTCCATTCAAGATTCTGTAGCAGCATGAAATGTTGCTTTTTTTAAAGAATTACATGCCATTATCCTGACTCTTAGGTCAAGTTTATATAAGCACTCTCTATGTTTATTCTGAAAATGGTGCAAAATGTCAAAATTCATTGTTTTAGGAAAATGAAAAGGCACTTATGGTTTAATTTTTCAATATTTAAAAACTTACTCCAATGCAGAATTCTCTGGGCACATAAAAATTTTCACCCAGTTGGAAAAATTTCAAATTGGCAATTTTTAAAAAGGTTCAATAAATTTTTAAATATATTAGTTATTTGTCCATGCTAAAGCTCAGATGATTCATTACAGCAAGATGATATAAAGAGCATAAAATTATGACTGCTACAAGTGTAACATACTTAAACCATGGATTCCCCCCCTTACTTTCCTAGCGCCAAAGTTTCAAGAACCATGTTAAAAGTTTTCTCCACCAACACTTCTCAAGAGTACCTACAATTTGGCAAATATTTTGGTACAAGTACCTAGACTGAATCTTCCTTGTAATATAGGCACAGCTGAGAATCTAATGTTTTGCAACACACAGGGCAAATTTATGCCATTACCAGGTGCAAGAGCCATTCCAAACATTCATGACTGTAATTTTAAAAACATACACGACACTTCCCGGTTTCACATTAATTCCAAATTGCATTATCACTAACAGGGGTCTGTCCTGGCCGAATTTACTACCGTTTAGCGGTACCTTCACAAATTCAACTTTAGGAAAAACGGTAGTTTCACAAAATACTTTTTCTTAAAATGTTATTTTTGTATCCCTTAAGAAACGATAAATCCATATTTTTATGTTGATTTTTAAATGTAATTTTGAATTTTTCACAAATTATGTCTAAATTTTCACAAAATAGGCACCTCTCAGAAAAACCTAGAGACCCCTTGACTATGGATGGCAAATATTTTGGAAAAAAAAAACTTAGTAGAAGGATTAACATGCAGACTTTTAACAGTCATTTATACACCTTATTTTTTTAGATTTGATATTTCTAATACAATGTTATGATTTTTTCGTCACTTACCATTCCATCAGAATTTTATGTTGTTTGATGATAGAATTCTTATCAGTAATTTATTTTTTTCACAGCCTGTTAAACATGATATTTTCTAATCGTAAATGGATGGCAGATATGTACAATATCAGAGATGCCAACTTGCTCCGGACAGAAAATACATATTTTAAAGTGGTAGTTTATCAATTGTGATTCTTTGTTGCTTAAATTCAATTTAGTAGATTTTTATTCACCACTTTTAACACTGATGTCATGCTTTACTTGTTAAAAAGCAAGCAAAAATAGTCAAATAATTGCAAAATTTACTTTGTAGTTATTTACCGTTTTTGTTAATTATTTTGGCGTGTCCGGAGCAGCTGGCATCTCTGTAATATACTTGAACTTGTGAACGACGTACACAGAAAGTTTTTTCTTGCACCTTTTCTGTGATTACATCATTTCATTTGACTTTTAGGCATGATGGTACCATACTGGGAATGAGTTTTTCTACTTTCTCCAACCTATATAAACGCGATTTAAATTCGTATGATTTAAATCACACACTGTGATTCAAGATTGTGAATAATTTTGTATTACCACGATTCTATCACAAATATGGCAGTTAAGATTCATTCTATTTAAAAGCCTCTACATAGAGGCTTTTGATTTGTTTGTGTGTTCTAATGACTTTCCTGTTCACACAATTTAAATAAAAAAATATTTTAAAAAAATCTGTGCCTTTAAAACTAATCTTGCTCAAATGAGGTGGCAACAAAGTTATCTTCTTAAAATACATATTTTGAGCTGTAGCCATTTCGTTTCGTAAACATGCAGTTTGAGTTGTGTCCGTATTTTTAAACAATCATTCTGAGCAATTCTATGCTCAGAATAAAAGGATCATCAACGATGTGCTATTAATTTATAACAACAGAAGCACTTTGCGTTTACAAAAAAAAGGCTCCCTGTATAAAATAAAACTGTACAAAAATATCTTTTAATTCTAACTGAAATAATTTTTGTTCAACAGATAAAAAAAAATTGTATTCTAACATTATGGATGATATTCTTGCATTTTAATGAAAGTTAATTATTGTTTTTGTCATATTTCAAGCCATCATCACAGGAATTAAGACATTAAGTAATCCGTGTCAGTAACTAATGAAGACTCCTGCTATATTCGACATGAACACCGCAGTATTCTGCAACAATGTCACAGCAATTCTGTCATGGGGTACTTATGCCTGATGTGCATATTTGTTGTGTGAAATAAAAAATTATCCTCAACTAACAAACATCAATATTTCAATAAAATACAATAAGAACAAAATCTGTTGGCTATAAATCGCATATACTATAAATAGAATAAGTGGGACAAAATAAATTATACACAAGACAAAACTTTGGAAGAGGGCCGTTCATTTTTTGAGAAATTTCATAAGCAATTAGAGCTCTTTGCTCTGCAAGGTACTAGTACCAGACACAAGAATCTCAAGCACTTAATCCAAAAGCTTTCTCTTCCTTGTTTTTTGGCTAATTTTATCTTTATATTATATTCTAAGTATTTTATAACTTTGAAATACTTTTTAACAAGTTTCTAATAACAGTAACATCTATATTGCAATGAATTATTCATTTATGAACTAAAAATGGAATTTATCTTAGATGTTTGACGTTTCTATCTTGATATCTTAGATGTTTCCATCTTGATGATAGAAAATTGAATTTATTTATCTTAGATATGTGTCATAGCTTGATTTTAAATGGCCTTGAGATATTCCTAAAATTAAATTTTGTGATTAACTAATTAATGAAGGAAGACTTTAGTAGGGTCATTCCATGGTCACGTGTGGGACATTTACACAATCATTTTGCAGATAAATTCTAATATAATAAATCTTTTTAATTATTTTTTAAAAATTTGATGCAATTTTTATGACTTGTACATACATACATATTTTTTAAGATTATTATGTTTTTAAAAAGTACGGAAATAGATTATTTACCGTTATTTAAGAAAGTGTCACGTGTGGGACGGAACTGAAATGAAAAAAATCTATTTCTTGAAATAAAAGGAGGATTTCAGTTAATTGANAAAAATAGTTCATTTCTCTGGAAAAAAAGAGAATAATCACAAATGTTCCAATCAATAATGTTTTAAATTACTAAAATGATATATTATTACATTATCATTTAATTATGGGATAATAATTTTGTTAATCTTTTTGTAATTATTTATATTCATAGTATATATTTCAATTTTATTTTAAGGAATAATTTTGTATCAAAAATGTGTTTTTGTCCTCTCATCTTGGAAAATATAGGTTTTTGCCAATTTGCTTGGCAAAAACCTGTTTTTGCCAGGACGGTTTTTACCAGTATTTACCATGGTTTTTCCCACCTGCGGCAAAATCTTGCCAACCCTGAGTATACTCGTAACTTAACTGTTGCTAAGTCTTTGTATCTGAAGAAAAAAATTTTAATTACAAAAGTGAGCACTTTTTATGGGAACACTTTATAACTTTTTTTCAGCTTAAACAAGCCACTAAATATTTAGCATAATGTAGCATCTTTAACAGGAGTATAAATTTAAAATATTTAAGCACAGAACTGAAGGATCAGTATCTAAAATATAAGTCCGTGCACATTTTAACTGGTTCGTTTACAAGTTTCTATTTATATTAAAAATTAAATAATGTTCACAATTATAACAGGGGTCTGTCCAGGCCAAATTTACTACTGTTTAGCGGAACCTCCACAAATTCAACTTTAGGAAATTTCACAAAACAATGTTTCTTAAAATTTTATTTCTGTATCTCGTAAGAAACTATAAATCCAAAATTTTTGTGTTGATATTTTAATATAATTTTTAATTTTCACAAAATAGGTACCTCTAAAAAAAAAACCTAGACAGACCCATGATGAAATATATTAGTTATAAAAGCACAGACCATAACACAAAACAGCATATTATCCCCTTACTGGAACAACTGATTAATTATATGCATAGAATTTCAGTTGTTCTACACCACTATTAATTTAAAGTTCTATCGGAAAATTTCAGTCCGGATAAATGGTATCAATTAGTGATGTAACGAATAGTGATGGGGCCGAATACTTAGTTTTTAAAAATTTCTCTTTTGAATGTAATTTTGAAGTTAAAGTAATTTTCAAATGTTAAATTAAAAATGAAATAAATATTAACAAAATTGCTTTTTTAATCTTTGTATATTTAAAAAAATTTGACAACTTGATTTATTTTTTGTAATATTTTAAATACCTAATGTTTTACATTTATAATAAATAATTATATAATCATATATTTCTAGTGCATACTATTGATAAATAGATATTATTAAGGGAATCACAAATAAATTTTAATTGCCGATTCAGATAGTATTCACACTTCTATTTAACAAACTATATATATTTGTATTTTAATGTAAAAGATTCCAATGCTTGTTTAAATACATATGATGATAAATTTGCAACAAGAAAACGTTTTTATTTATGTAACATTATTAAATACACTTATGTATTATACAACTTAAATTGAGTAAATGTTAGATTTTCTAATAATTAATGCAGTGAAATGAATATTCTGCAATATTCATGATTAAATATATTTAAGAGCACATTTAAAAAAAATATCTTTCTTTATTATTATGAATTTATTCCGCCAAATATTTAATATTCATATTCAGCCGAATAACCTCATTATTCGGCCGAATATTCGTTACATCCCTAGTATCAATGGAGAAATATCATTATATGAAGCAAAGACAACTAATTTAACAAAAGATTAATGCAGAGTTAACTAAATTATATTTTATACATTAAATAAATGCAAACATTGGAGCTGTTTCTGTAAAGTGATCTGTCACTCCAACTACAATCACCAAGGTGTTAAAGCAAATGTTAGCCCGAAAGATGGCTACGAGTTATACCATTTGAGTTGGCCCCTTTCAGTGATTTTCTTTTAAGATTCTCGAAGGGGCGCTGTTCAGAAGTTACCAAGACTTGGCAATTATTCTGCTACAGATCACGATACGGAAATCTCCTACAAATATCTCCCAAACTATATCTCGAAAAATTAGGCATAAAACAGATATCTTACCAAAGCTGAAGATTTCTGTTTGTCTTTTAAACAACCAGTCTGCTTATTCCAAATCCTATTCACTTCTCTTAATTTCGACTGCATTAGACTGAGCTCTTGTTCTTGAACTTTGTTGACAGGCTCATAAGTAAGCAAAGAGCAAGCATTAGTAGCAGAAAAGTTAGCCACAAATAGACCAGATACTTGAAACTCAGAGTCATCTGCAAGCGAGTCACCTTCGCTATTGGTGTCCCAGTCTGAATCCTCATCACCACTTTCTATAGTGACAACAAAAGATGACAGATTCGGCAACACAATTTGAACACTTTTCGAATTATGCGATACAGTTACATCACATACAATATCACAATTCTTTTCCTCAGTTGCAGAGCTTGCTGACTTCTTGCTAACATCACAGTTTACTTGGGTTTTACGGTTTTGATCAGCTTTAGATGAATTTGACTTTTTCTGACGTCGTCTTCTCTTTTTAGATCTCTTTTGCAATTCTTTAGTTTTGCGGTTAGCCATTTGTTGATCTAAGTTGCAAGTGTTTAAGGGCTTAAGCACTGTTTTAGAAATAGTAACGTTAAAGTGTGCCTTATTATTTGGTGACGACGCATCAGCTATAGATACAACCAAATGGTCACTAAATGTACTTTCAGGAGCTGAAGAATTTTTCTCCAGCTCTTTTGAAGAATTATTTTGTTTTCCCATAGTCTTTTTAGGCAAAGTATCTAAGAAAATATTTAAACCAGGGATAGTACCTGCTACAGTATCTAGATCTATGGAACTGTTAAACAGTCTATGATATTCTTGAATCAAATTGGAACACTGAGCTGTTTTAGGAATATGAGGTAGCATACTATGGTTGAAAGTTCTGAATAGACTATGAAGATTTGTTTTAAAAGCACTCGAAGATGCAGAATCATAGAAATCACTAGAAAATAAACTATCTTCAATAAGTTGTTGCTGATATTCGGCAGGCATGTTTTGAAACAAACTGCTGGAATTCTTCAAGAAGGTATGAGGACCTGCTAATTTCTTAATTAAAGATGCCTCACTATACTTCGTAGGAGAAAAAATCTTATCGAATAAAGTATCCATGTTTAAAAATATATACTTATAACAATATTTACAGTGAAATAAATAACTGTAATTAATTCATTACTCTCTAGTGCAGTTCCATTTTGGCTCCATATGATTTTCAGGGAGATACTTGGGAACGTTGATAAAAGGTCCAATAACTTTAAACTTCATATGTTTAAGAGAATCATAAGCATAAAACAAATTTTCTTCAGCACATGTAGCATGTAAATCACTATCTTTCAAGATAAAGAACGATAATTGACTCATGATCATATTATAAACTTACTTTCAAAATCACTTGAATAAAATGAAAGATAATATACTAAAATGGCGGAGAGGATAACAGGATGTGGGCAGTTGGCGCAATATAACGTCATTAATTGTCGCCACCAGAAAGTTATTTTAAAAATAAAATCTCATTTTTACATTTTATGAATACTAAAATGAACTTAGCATACATTTAGTACCAATAAAGCCACATCAAAGTGAAAAAAATGTAACTTCATTCATTTTCTTTCTATTTAAATTATTCCAAAAAGTTCTCCAGCAGCCAAACGAGCGATTTATCATAATTCTGGAAACCTCGTATTTTAAAGTGCGAACCTAATGTGCAAAATATTATGAAAATAAAGTACTTTTCAAGAAATAAAGTTACATTAAAAATAATATTAAAACTTAGAAACGTAAAATTTGAATTTTAACTGTAATATTTACCTGTTGAATACTCCAAATAAAAAATGATTTCTGTTAGGAATTACATCATATTTCCATTATGATAGTCACGTACTCACACCTTCAAAATGTAAATAAACATTGAAAATGACAGGAAAAGCTAGCACATGGTTAATAAAATGTTTCGTATAACTTATACCATATTTTTGTTACGTTAATTTTTGAAACAATAATTCAGTATTTAAAATACCAACACACTATTTATGAAGGGAATTTAGCTCTGGAATACTAGTTTCTTTCGCATTATTTGTTCGAACTTTTATTTATAAAGCTTATGTATTTTCTGGTTTATATTCGGAGCAAAATCTTATTATTTTTTATTGTTATTATTCTTAATCGATTTTTTTGTCGTAGTTCTATACGCCTACATCCTTTGATTAAAATTAGATGTTATAAAAATAACGAACATTCGAAAATTCTTAAACATTACATTTTATTCCGAGCTATTTTCTCTGTGTGCTATTGTGAATTAAAAATAACATTGCATAATGCTTTTATGTGATTCTTCTGAAAATAAAAATACTTAACTATTTTATGATATTGTGTTACCAAAGGGAACTGAGATTTTTAATTCTAATTTGCATTCATAAATAAATATGTTCACGCTCACTTTTGTATGTATTTTGTTCTTCCTACAGATTTACATTTAAAAAAATAATAATTCAGATGAACGTGTCAAAAGGCAATTATAATGCTAAAATTTTCCTAATATATTTTCAATTCATTCTTGTCACAGATTATATTTGTGAATATTGCAATGTGTGTTTTGCAAATGTAAATTTTATCTCTGATGAAGGAGAAACAGTATTTTTCCATTAATTTTCAAAAAAGTAATTGATAAAAACATGAAAAAAACATAACAAACTAAAGATTTTTTTGTTACACAAGTAATTCGACCAATATAAAACCACTTAGCACTTGCAAACAATGTGTTTCGTAATTAATTGAGACGTATTTTATTTACCAGAATTCTTCTTCTGTATTAAGTGCTGGTGGAATACTTATTTTGAGTGGAGGAATAGAGTATTTGAGGACTGCAATGATGTAAAAAATTTGTTTTGTAAAGTTTTAATTTGTCGAGTTGAATTTTTTTATGAATTAAAAAACTGATATGAAAGCTAACATAACTCTTCAATTTTATCCTGAAAATGTAGAGGTGTTTTTCCTAAAATAAAAATCCTAATAAATTTTTATAAAATATTAGACTACTAATATTTAAAAAGCTTGCACATATTTTTTTTCAATCATATAGATTTTACTAATGATGGCAAAAATTTAAGTTTATTTGTTTTACATAAATCATTAAATTTCCTTTTTTTTTCAAAAAAAAANAAAGAATGATTCATTAAATTAATCAAATTTTATTAATAAGGATTTCTTACTCGAATTAGAATTGTCATAGTATATTGAAACATTTATTAATTTTCTCTATTTAGTCTAAAAGAAGGGAGAGAAAACTGCACATAAAATCATTCAAGAGCCTGTTTGTTGCATGCTGTTTAGCAATAGTGCTTAAAAAATCAACTATGGTATTTAATTATCCTTATCATCAGTTACACTATGAGATATCCTACCCTTTTAAAAATATATTTAATATAAGATATTACTATATCTAGGAAAATCCTATATAATAGCTAGGAAGGGCATTCTTACATTTGAATAACTTGTGAAAGCTTATGTTAATTGTTCCTAAATATAGGTAAAATAAATTTATTATTTTGCTTCTGAGTATTATACTTAGCTTATAATTATCTATTTTTAATATTAATTTCTTTTTTTAGTACATTCCTTTAAAGTTTAATAATGATAGACAAATAAGTGAACATTTTATGAATTTGTTAATTAGTAAAACAGATATAAATTTTAATAGTCTTCTTGTTTTAAATGTAGATAATTTTTTTTTCTTAGTTTACAAAATATTCCTTAATATTCAAAAGTTATTGCTTATTAAATTTTTTATTGGTTAAAATTATTAACACTAGAAAGACTGAAACTTAGTATACAGGGTGATTCTAAAAAGGTGGGCAAAATTTTAGGAAGTGATAGTACACACCCAAGCAAACAATTTTTATCAAAGAATGCATGGTCGAAAACAAAACGCAAAGGTGCTGGCGCATTTGGAAAGTTGTTTGATGCAAACGTGAAAGCTCCATTCCTGTTGCGAGTTACTGCGCTGCGTTACTTGTCGCCAAGCTTTCGGCCGCTGCTAGGAAAGTTCGTGATCTGGTGTGTTTCAGAATGTTCGCCTATCTTTTCTTCACCGTTGTACTGCGTGCATAGCTGCTGCCGGCCACTGTTTTGAACACTTATTGTAATCACATGCTATTAAATTTGCTTTTATAACTTAACTTCATCGTTCTTTGTGTGTTTTTGCCTCATATAAGAACATAAACTTTGACGCCCTCCAGTGGTTTTGTTTTCGACCATGCATTCTTTGATAAAAATTGTTTGCTTGGGTGTGTACTATCACTTCCTAAAATTTTGCCCACCTTTCTAGAATCACCCTGTATATCTATATTGCCCAAAAGAAGTCAAAATGACTGGATTGTGAAAGAGTAACTAATGTGTAAAGAAATTTGTTTAAAATTAATTTTTAATATTATTTACAGTTTAATAACAGCATATTAGTAAATATTAACAATAAAAAAAGTAAACATTGAAATTGTGTCATTATATACATCGTTTTTCTAATTGAAATTAAAAAGCAGTCAAAATGACTTCCTTGGGCAATCTAGTGTTAATAAATGTTTTTTTTTGTTCTTTTGATTGTGTTTGTTGCACATACCTTAAATTAAAAAGAAGATTTAAATATGAAGCTATCATCTTAAAAGGGAGGATGCAATACATCCCTTCTTTTTCATTTCTGTCTATTTTGATCTTGATTGTTTTGAAAACTAAAATAGAGGAATTAATTAGAAAATATGTAAATTTTATGTGAGTAAACAGTGAAATATAAAAAAATGGCCAAGTTAAATGCTACTACAATTTCAAGTTGTTACGTGGAATATTTTCACATGCTTTAGCTTGCATAAAAGAACTGAAATAGGGAAACTAATAAAATTTCTTTGAATAGATCTTCAAGAAACTAATAACAAAAGTAATACTTTGATAAGTAATACTTAATACTAAAATAATACTTTGGCAGGAATGCTGTACAAATTGGCAATGCTAAGAAGTATATTTTGTATTAAAATAAGTAAAGGCAACAATTCTAAAATTTGTTTTAAAATTTTATTAAATAAAATGACACATTTTTCATAATACTAACTAATAATGATACATTTTATTTTGTTGATTAAAAAAAAATTTTTTTTTTTTAATATACCTTGCTTCAAAATACTTTATACAAAGAATAAAACTTGTAAATATGCAAAATATGTACAAAAATAAACAAATTTTTTTAACAACATAGTAGGTAATAATTACAAATAATAACCTGTTGCCAATAATTTATATAACTATTATTAATTTTATAACATAGAAACTGCATGCTCAAATAACAGACTTAATAAAATGCTTACTAAATGCAAATTTTGCAAACTGAAATAAACGTAAAAATAATAAAATACTGACATCAATGTATTTTATGAACCTTGTTTAAACATGCATTAATGAACAATTGTACACTGATTATTAAATTGAAAAAAAATTGAACTTAAGTTTGACAAATTGTAATTTAAGTTTGACTAAATTTATAAGAACAGTTATAAAATCTATAAAAAGTGACATTTGAGTAAAACAGTAACACACTTTGCAGAAGTTGGTATTAATAATGGTATTAAAAGTTTGAGACTCCAATTACTGGACAATAATCTTCATAATACAAATAAGGACTTGGCATACAGTCTGCCAAGATACTTTGTACTGTTATTTTTATAAAATTTAATTTTTAGATGCCTTTGAATTTATTTCTAATGCATAAAATATGTTAACAATGATTAACATAGTTTCAATTGTTTGTGGTGGGAATTTGCTTCTATAGCCCACTGCTTAGATGGAACAATTGCAGATGATGAACAAGAATAAAATGATTTCTAGAAACAAATTCAATTTTAATATAATATAGTTAACTCTTGGGTGTCTCAGACATTAAATATTTGAAATGGGTGAAATCAAAATGGAGTTCGTAAAATTTCACTAGTGAAAAAAATTTCTTTCATCTTGTAAATGATTAAAAAAAAAATACATATTAGATTGTTTTTAACTAAGTTAAAATTTAATTGATGATGAATGCTTTTTTAATATCTTAAGAACAATAGTGAAGACTTTTTTTTAAACATTTCTTATTAATCAGGAAGACATACATTCCAGCGTTTAAGGGTTATATCAGTAGTATTTTTTAAAACAGATAGAATTTAAGTCAGAATTTAAAATGACTATTTGTCTGTCTGATCTTTCACATATCTCTTTGTATTATTTTTACGTAATGGAGTATGAAAGTCTTTTAAGTCTAATTTATTAAGATTAAATTACCTTTGCTATATCTGGAAAAAATATCTACTGAAACTACAGAAATTTCGTCGTCGTTGAGGTCTATGAGACAGATTATAATGTGATGAAAATTTTGGAATCATTGAAATCCATAAATTAAGTGCAACAAGCAAGCAGTTCAGATGCACATTGTTATTTTTTTTTTAAAAAATTTGTTATTTAATAATCTTCATTCCTCAAGTTAATGCCTGAGACAATGCGCAGCTTTTGAATCTGTATTAAGCTTGACTAGGTTAATTCAAATAATTATTGTAAAACAGTAAAATAAATATAAAAAAAAAAGAATAAAACTATAATAGAGTTTTAAACTATAACTTTAAATATTTATCTTAAGACCATCAAGATAATTTTATCTTCAACAATTTAGAAATTTATAATATCTGTAATATTTAAACCAATTCAAGTTTATAAAAAGGAAATCATATATACATAAGCATTTTTTTAAAATCATATTCAACTTGTTAATAGTAAAAAATATTAGCTTTTAAATAATTGTTCTATAGCTCTCATGTAAAAGTATCATCAAATTAGGGTTGTAAAGAATCTAGCATTCCCAGATCTCCCCAATTTTGTTGTGCTTGCTGCTGTGGTTGTTGTTGCCCGACATTAGATGCCATTCCTCCTTGTTGAATATTTCCTGGCATTTGTTGGCGCATTCCTTGAGCATGTTGCATCAACATTGGATTTTGTTGGATCTGCTGCCTTCTCAATTGTTGCTGTGCTTGCTGAAAAGTAAAGTTTCCAATATCAAACATTCATTTTTGTAATACGTTTATATTTCTAATGTCTATTTAATAAACACTGTTCCTAGTTAATCATACAGCAAGCATTTGATTTTAAAAAAAAAAGTTAAAAAAGCATCAGGGCATAAAGTTAAAAAAGCATCTCAAGCCCTGGAGTGTTTAAAAAACATTATTTTTAGGTTCAAAAAAGAAATTAAATGATTTAAAGTTTCTTAAAAAAAAATTCTAAACATATATTTAGACTACATTTTACCTTTCATTTTCAGTAATAGATTTAAATAATAGAGCATTTTGTGATATTGTGTATATTGTTTATAAAAGTATATAGCTTTCTTGCTAAGTTCATATATATATGTTTTCTTAAAGTGTTATATTGTATTAAAATTCGAAACAATGTCATTTAGAAGAAATACATATACAGTGATATATCGAGATACGAGTTTAATTCGTTCTGCAACCTTGCTCGTATGTCTATTTGCTCGTATCTCAAAGCAATTTTCCCAATTGAAATTAATTGAAATGCCATTAATCCGTTCCAGCCCTAAAAATTCTACCCCTAATTGTTTTTGAATAAGAAAAATGTATTTATAAATGACAAATATTGTATAAAAACATAATAAAAAAGAATGTAAAGCAAAAAAAAAACTGGTTTTATAAAGTGTACATACATATTTGTATTTTGGCACACACAACTTAAATGCTACTGTATGCTTAATTTTAGTCACTGCTTATCTCTTCACTGGTCTTTGCTTTTTTAGCCAGTTTAAAAAAAAATGTCCAAAGAGGCTTGTTTCTACCTCCTTTTCAGAATGCTGCAGAAATAAGTTAGGCAAGTGTCATAAAATAGCTCCGATGTACGACTAGTTGCAACGTTTTCAGGGTGTTTCTTTTCCACCAATTGTGAAATTCTCTCCCACATTCTCAAGAACTCTTTTATCTCACTTGTAGAGATAACCTCCTCTACCTCTGGCTCTTCCTGAAAACTAATTTCTCGCAGAACTCCCGAATGCTGCTGCGACTTTAACTCTTGTAATTCCTCGGTCGTCAGTTCTTGAGAGTGTTCCTTGGTGAGCTCGTTCACATCTCTCTCCATCACCAGGTTCATGGATTTTCCCAGAGACACAATCTCCTCCTCCACTGGCACTTCGGGTTTGAATCCTTTGAAGCTAAAGACTCACTCAGGGCACAGCTTCTTCCATGCAGAGATCAAGGTCCTCGTTGTAACACTCAGCCAGGCCTGCTCAATAATTATGAGGCATATTAAGATGTTAAAGTGGTCCTTCCAATACTCTCGAAGGGTAAGGTTTGTGTTCTCTGTCACCTCAAAGCAGAGCCGAACCAGGTGCTTAGTGTACAGCTTTTTAACCCGGGAGAACTTGCGCTACTTACCGCCACACGAGAGCTCGCGGCGGGCTTCGCAGGCCCGGAGCGGATTTTCGCTTAAGAAAATGGTAAAATCAATTTGCTGAGCATAAAAGATTTGTGTTTTTAACTTAGAATTATATATGGGTAAATAAAAAATAAAATATTTTTTAAAACAGCAAGTTTAAAAAAGTTTAATGATATATTTATATATTTACAATAAAATTTTGAAAAACTTTTTTTAAGCTATACATGTAATTAATATTAGATTTTGAACAATTAAATAATGTTTATTACATTTACTATAATTGAAACAAAACTTACATTTCACTGGCATATTCTGCAAATAACACTGCTATGCTCTCCCCATACATTTTTTGAAAATTTAGCACAAGAAATTTGCGATTTTCTGTCAATTTTGCTGGGGCAGATATGACATCTTTTTCTTGAACATTTTTGCTTTTTTGCCGATGGTGCTTCATAATTTTCATTGCGGTCGCTATATATTTTTTCACGTAATTCGCGTGGAAGCGTTGGCTGCAAACTTCTTTTTTCTACATGCTCCTTCAGAAACTCTTAACGCCAGATCTTTAAAAAATAAACTCCTTTTTTTTTGTATTGGAGCAGTGGCGATTTCGCAGATAATAGTCAAATTCGCGCATTTTTGGCTGCAGTATTCAAAATACTGAAAAATACTATCATCGGCCATCTGTTACTAACTCTTGCAGTGGAATAAGTAGCTGAAATTTCATCAACTACATCTACAGCTCCCTTCGTCAGATTGTAAAAAGTTATTATTTCTGGTTTCCTGGCTTCTGCAGTTGAAACATCAATTGCACCATCATTGTGCATGGTAGACAAAAGTACCACACATAAATTTTTTTTCGGTACGTAGGATACCAAAGTCGCATTCGTTTGGAATCCAAATAAAGAGGAATACACTTCTCGTTTCTTCCCAGAAATGATTGGTAGTGGTTNAAAGTTATTATTTCTGGTTTCCTGGCTTCTGCAGTTGAAACATCAATTGCACCATCATTGTGCGTGGTAGACAAAAGTACCACACATTAATTTTTTTTCGGTACGTAGGATACCAAAGTCGCATTCCTTTGGAATCCAAATAAAGAGGAATACACTTCTCGTTTCTTCCCAGAAATGATTGGTAGTGGTTCTCTTTTATTTTTTCTGACAGTTCCTACAAATGTTATTTTCTTTTGAAGGAGATCTTTCGCTAATGCATAACTAGTATACCAATTGTCAACTATGAGATTACGCCCAGAGTTGTAAATCGGTTCCATTAACCTCTTGACAATTTTATCGGGAGTATTTTCTACTTTATATGGACCTTCTGGTTGAGCACCTGCATAAATTTCAAGATTCCAAGTATAAAATGTCCTAGAATCAACTAAAGCAAATATTTTAATTCTATACTTGGCAGGTTTACTTGGAATATATTGACGAAAGGAACATTTACCTCTAAAGGGTTCTAACTTTTCATCTATAGTGACAAATTCCCCGAGACTGTATACATGTTGGCAGTTTGCAACAAATTTTTCAAAAATAGATTGTATGGGAGCCAATTTATCCAGTTCTCTTCTAGAAGGACGATCAGTAATATCATCGAATCTTATGCATCTCATTAGGAATAAAAAGCGATTATATGACATAGTCCGATAAAAAACTTCAAGGCCTGTGCCATCGGTATTCCAAATATCAGGGACATTTACATGTGAGGATTTGTGAATTCCCGCTAAATAAAGGCCAATAAATGCTCTTATTTCCGTCATATTTGTCTCACGAGCATCTCTTTTTCTTTGGAAATTGCATGCAGTTGATTTTATATAAATGTTTGCGCATTCCACAATACTCGTTGTTATTATTTCGTTGATAAGCAACTTCCATGATTCGATAGGGCAGGATACATTTCTTGCATCACCAACATTTCCGGGCAATTTTGTTACGATATTGCGAGCTGGAGTTCTCACGTTTCGTCTTGGTTTATTTTTATTCCATTATTGTGTGCCTGGCCACATTGAGCATTATAGTTTTCAGGCCTTGCCATTAAGGTCTCACTTCTTTACGTAGAAAGAAAGGGGAGAAAGTATGCTCAAATTATTTTTCTACGATTTTTTAGTCTTGTATTGAATTGATATAGTTGAACAAAAATTTGTTTTAAAGTTACATAGAGAGAAAAAGCATTTGTAACTTTAAATAAAGGACTTAAAAAGTTCTAACTGAGCTTTAGATCTCTAACACTAGTAAGTCAACGTTCTTTCTTTTTTAAACTTATAAATATGAAACAACTGTAACATAAGTAAGATTGTCATATTTTGCTTTTTTGACTATTAAAAGCATTGAAATTTAGAACTTCAATGCTAAAGATATACAGTGGTACCTCGAGATACGAGTGCCCTAACATATGAGTTATTTGAGATACGAGCAGTCGATCGAATGAAGTTTTGTTTTGAGATGCGAGGAACGGCCTTGCAAGCCCTTCTCGTCCTCAATGATGCTCCTGCTCACCCATCGAACCTCGAAGATGACATCCTCGAACGTAAAATATATAGAAATTTTATTTGATATGATCTAAATGCTACTGACAATAATTATATACTCTAAAAACTTACAAAACAAAGTTAATTTACTCTTTTTTTATACCTTAATCATATGAAGAATAAAAACAAGAATGCTTATTAATTAAAAAATTTTTTTTGTCCCTAATGCCTATCACTTTTTTGTTAATAACAATTAATGCTTCTGATTTATAGTTAAAATAAAATTTTGATGTTAAGACCATTTTTTCAACAAATTAATAATTGGTACATTAATGTTTTCGTTAATAAGTACTTAAAAAAGGATATTTCGGCTTGCTAAAGTTTCTTCCCGGCGCATATTTGTTAGACAAATACCAGCCAGACAATGTACAAGTTTGGAGATTTTTCACGATTTCTCAAATTTATTTTTCAGATATTATGAGTAGTATTATATAAAAGCAAAATGATAATTTAGCTTTCTGTAAATCAGATTTGAACAGCAAATAATTAAAAAAAAAAAAAAAATTAAAAAATTCTCTTTTATTCCTAGATTACGCTACATATTAAAATAATTATAAAATTATGCACATACATATTTATATATAAATGATTTTTACCTGCTGCAGCAAATTTCGCAGTTGAGGGTTATGGTTACCTTGCTGGTTCATTTGTTGCATATTTATAGTCTGCTGTTGTTGGGCCAACTGTTGTTGCTGAAGTTGTAGTTGTTGTTGCAACTAAAAAGATAAATCAAAGTGAATGTTTGCAAGAAAAAAAAAATAAATAAAAAGAAACCTGAAAAATTACTGCTTTACCTGTCTTATAGCATTCTGTCTATCAATCATTTGTTGCTGTTGTTGTTGTTGCTGCTGTTGCTGTACTTGTTGTTGTACTTGCTGTTGCTGCTCCTGAGCAGCTTTATATTGCAATTCTTTCTGCTGTGCTTGTTCCAAGGTTTGTTGCAGTTGTTGTATTTTAAGCTTAAAGGAAAAGAAATTGTTATAACAGCCTTGTAATACTCATAGTATCTAACTCAAATAAAATATCGCCAATTCAAATAATCACTAGAATACCCTATGAGGGACTACACTTGAGGGAGATTACATCACAAAAAATTGGAAATCTAAATGAATACATCAGTTTGGTTAAAGAAACATATTTGAGAGTATGCATAACAAGATATAGAACCTACAGATTTTGAATAATCTTGTAAAAGAGTAGCAATAATGGAAATTTATGAATAATCTTGTAAAAGAGTAGCAATAATGGTACTAGTTTTTTTTTATTAAAATAAGCTAATCAGCAAAATTACAAAAACACCATTCTATTTAGTCTTCAATTTTAAACTTAGTTACCAAACGTTTATAAATTCCAAATTATCATATATATCTACATATGTTATTGTAAAAACTCAAAGCAAAAGTCTCAAGTATACTTTTATATAATTTCATTTTGGCCTCTTACTAAGCCTTTGCAGTAAAACCAAGGAGTTACTAAGGTACTTAGGATTAACCAAACTTCAACATTAACATATATACAAATATTTTCTGTTAAAATATAAAATTAAATACATGCTAGACTTTCATACTCTGCTGTTTGCAATGTTCAAAACTGTGGTGCGTTTATGTAGGAATAAAATTTTAAAAACATTTGTCAAGTAGCGCCAAGGTATTTTAAAAACTCTTAATACAAACAAAACTCTTTACAATGACACCCTCATTCCACAGAAAAACTGTTTCAGTAAAATAATCTGTAATGATAATAACTATAAGAACCATTCGAGTTTAATAACCAAAACAAAAAACTCCATTTAGCAGGTGTCATACCATTTAAAACTAAATTTCAGAAAATTATGTTCTATAGATATATACTAAGTTCTTTTTAAAAATTATCCATTTTTTTTATTTACATTATTTTTTTCACATTCAATACACTTTTGAAAAAATATGGTACGTAATTATTAACTCATCTTAATGATTATGCAGCAATCCTATAAAATTTTGAAATTGTTTTTTTTTAATTCTTTATATATATATATAAAGGACTTTTAATAGATTTTTAAAATATTAGCAGAAATGGTGCAAAGTGTTAAGTATAATCTACAAACAATAAGTTTGTGACATACAATAAGCTTATTAAAAGATATTGTTTTTGTTCAAAAAAGTTTAATATGTGGAAAATAAACATATTTGTGAAACCTTTGAAAAAAAGAAAACTGTTTAAGTATCAATTAATAGGATTCAAAGTTATTAAACTTTTATATCGAAAAACTTACCAAATTTTGCTGTCTAGCAGCTTCTAAATGATTTAATCTGGCAGCATTATTAGTTTGCGCATTCATGTTTTGAGAATGTCCCATGCCATTATTATTGGCAGGAGCTTGGGCAGCTGGAGCATTATTTTGTGGAACTGGTTGTTGATTGATCGGCATACGGGCATTCATTTGACTTCCATTAGGGTTTATATTACTAGGTGCAAGCTATAATAAAAAAGCAATGTATAGGAACTTAACAATTAAGTATTATGAAATACAATTCATCAATATTCTAATTTATTCATCATCATTTTTTATTAAAATAAAGAATACAGTATTAAAAAAAAAAAGACAAGTTTTTATTCATGAATGACAATAAAGTTTAACTAACATGTTAAAACAAATAACCACACTTGAGAAAAACAAAAGTCTGTAGTAAAAGTAAATAAAATACAGTCGGTCCTCTATTTAACGAAGTTGCTAAATCCCGATAATAAGTTCGTTATATGGAAAATTCGATAAATAGAAAATCCCCTTTGGAAATACTTAAACAACACAAAACAGATTTGAAATTCATAAACACAAGACAGAATTAACATAACAATGGATACACCTTTATCTTGTAAACTAGTATCGACTATTTATTTTATAAATCCTAACCATTAAAGAAATCTGCATGGAAAATAAGAATAGAGCAAAACATTATCCAGTGTTATACAATCATGCTATATACATTTACAACTAAAAACAGCTAAATTTATGCATGAAATCTTGACTGTATTTATTTGTTGTATAAAATTATAACTGCTAAGTAATTTTAAATAGTGAAAGTGGAAGTTAAATAGGGAAGTGGGAAATAGGGAAAGTGGAAGTTAAATAGGGAAGTGGGAAATAGGGAAGTGGGAAATAGGGAAAGTGGATCACAAAGAAAGGTTCGCTAAATAGAAAATTCACTTCGCTATTTGGAAGTTATTTCACAAAGAAATTTGCAAAATGTTCTTGGTTCTTCGAAAAAATTTGCAAAATAGAGAAATTCGCAAAATGGAAGTTCGTTAAATAGAAGTTCGACTGTATATCGAATTGAGAAATAAACTATTACACATGAAGCAATATCATATCTCTTAGGAAATATCTAGAATATTATCATTCATAGGTATATTAAAGAATTAGTTCATGAATTGGCATTAAAATTTGCTACACGTAATGTAGCAATGTCTATTAATTTACCCTAATATATGAAATGCACCAGTACAGATTCCCACTCTTTAAATATCAAAAGACTGAAAAATTTTTATGAATTTGTTAAACCTGATTTAAAGATAATAGCTGAAACATTTATTGAAAATACAATTTATTATATAATGTATTGAATTAATAATGGTATGTTCTATTAGTATTCAAAGAAAACTAAAGAATAACTACAAATAAAAGTTATTGAATTTCCAGCAATAATCTTTGTAATCAGCAATATCATAATTGTATTCCTACTCATAAGGATTAATTAACAGCATATACAGAAACTTCGCAGTACAAGGACTTTAAATAAAAGTGTAATTAATAATACTTAATGAAAACGATATGATAAATGATACTCAATCCCCCTCATTTTTTTCAGAAAAAAAGCATGATGCTTGCATTGGGCCTGTCTCCCATTGATCGTTAGGCAGCAAATATATGGTAATACTCACTAAGGTCCTCTATGAAAGATTGTTTCTCCATATACTTGCTTTTCATTTGAATTGGAAATGGATTTGCTTATCTTTAAGTTATAATCTTGAAATTGATTGGCTGTTTAGTGCCAATAATAATGTGACAAAAAAAAAAAATAAGGGAAGGGGAATTCATGCTGACGAATACAACTACTTATGTTTTTCACTTTAAATTAATACAATACAATGAATTATAAAGACTAACATATGATGAATCTACAATAATATCTAATCTGTTGTGTCCTTCAGATAACTCATGAAATAATGCAGTCAACTAAAATTTTAGATATAGCCATAGTTTACTATTGTAATAAACAACTACCATGGGGTAAAAAGTGAAACTTAAGAAGTTATGGTTATATTTTTAAATTTTTTTTATCATATATGCAAGGGAAAGGGATTGAAAAACATCAGACACCATCATCTTGAATAAAATTTCAACCAATACAATATAATATTGATGTATACAAGTACCAATTTGGCTAACAGAAAAAGAATTACCTGTGGAATCATCATATTTGCACTTGTATTAGTGTTGGGTTGCACTGCCATATTATTCTCAGGTTGAGGAACAGAGCTAGCAATTTGCATCTGCAAAACAGCTTCAATTACTACAAATGCTTTTATAAATTAGTATTGTTACAGATAAATTACTTTTAAAATGTATACCCTTTGTTTTTGTTGCTGTTGCTTACGATGATTATCATACATTTGTCGAATATTATTGAAAAATGCCTCTTGATCATTAGCAATAAAACCCATGTATATTCTTTTGTCAGGCATATATAGTATTACCATAATTCGGATATCACAATTATTAGGAAACTGTACACACCCTACCTAAAGTATAGAATAAAAAAATAATATTAATTATTTAGAACACATGAAACTATGTCATACATTAAAATGTTTACAGGTACTATTAATCAATTTGTAGTAAATATAACAGGTTTACTCAGACATCTGCTTTGCAACTGTAAAAAACGTGTTCACTATAGATTTCAAGAAAAGTGGCTAGATAGCTACTTTCTTTTTACTGCTAATTCTATAAACGCTAAAAAAAAATGTAAAAAACTGATAAAAGAATTTTTTTTTTGGGGAAAAAAAATAAGTTGCAATGAGTAGATTATCATACAAAAATGACAAATATGCAGAAATTTCAATTTTGAATTTTCTGTCACACAGTTGATTTTTCGATTACATAGCACACATAATAAAAAATGACTGAAAATTTATAAAATAAATGATGATTAAAAAAATATTGTCCCTATATATATATTTTTTTAAAGCTTATAAGCGGGTTAAGTATTACAAGCTTATTCAGGGGCGCTACTTACTGACTGATGCCTGTTTTTGTATAAGTTTATATATTGGCTTGAAACAAAATCATGCTATACCAAGTAAAAATAATTTAAATAATCTTTGTAACTGGAGAAAAAAAAGAAAGAAAAAAAAAGACAGGTACCATCAGATTTAAAGCAAACTTCGGAGGCAGAAAAAAATGCGTTCACAGCAGGTGAGCCAACTTAAAAAAAAAAATCTTCTAAGGTATCTAACAGTAAAAATGCATTAAAAACAAAATTAATTTTGATTTAATGAACTGATAATACAAATCATTTTCTGACCAGCTTTAGTTTAAAGAAAATAGGAATAAAGATTAATAAAAATAATTTACCATAACAGACAAATCAAATTTGATTGATCTCTTTTTAAAAAATTTCAATTGATGCTAATCTATCATAATATTTTTCGCAAAAATCTTTATTTGTAGTCATTTTGCACAGTTATACTTTAGATGAAATCTAACTAAAAATTATTTTCCCATTACATTAATAAAAGATTTTTATTGGTTCTTTAAAACTGGAGCTGATCAGAGAATTTTCTAGAGATTTTCATATTTAGCATGATAAATTTTGTAAAAAGCAACCACTTTGAATCTCATCAAATGCAAAATTGTCAGCGTGATTTATAACATGCTAAGTACTTTATGAATAAATTTAAAAAAAAAATTTTTTTTCTTCTTTTTTAAATAATTAACTTAAAATTTCTACAGAATTCCTAATATAAAAAAGACACCACTTCAAAAGCAAAAGCTTTTCGTATCGTCATAATGAGGGTTAGTATTTCTTCTGAAAAAAATGGAAGTAAAAAAACCCAAAAGAAACTGTAAGAAATTAAAAATGACCTAAACAATTGCTTAGCAGTANACTTAATTGTTTTATTCATTCAATATTGGCCCAAATGAACATTCATATATCACACTATACAACTATACGGCTAGTGACGGAGAAGCAAAGCTTCCCTCACACTAAGTACTTAATGAATAAATTTAAAAAGAAAAATTTTTTCTTCTTTTTTAAATAATTAACTTAAAATTTCTACAGTAATTCCTAATATAATAATTCCTAAAATAAAAAAGACACCACTTCAAAAGCAAAAGCTTTTCGTAATGAGGGTTAAATGAGGGTTAGTATTAATGAGGGTTAGTGTTTCATAATGAGGGTTAGTATTTCTTCTGAAAAAAATGGAAGTAAAAAAATCCAAAAGAAACTGTAAGAAATTAAAAATGACCTAAACAATTGCTTAGCAGTAAGTGTACTTTTTTTTTTTTTATAAAAAAAAGTAGATATGTTCAAATTACACCAGAGAACATTTTTTTTGCTTAATGTAGGGTGAAATGTTTGAACATATTTGAGATACTTTCATGTCACTGATTTCAAATCTGCAATCAGTTCCTATCTACAAGCCACACTTTCGTTTTTTTTTAAAATTTAATCCTTTATTTAATAAATTATATAAAATTAGAAACAGATGGATTGAATTCAATACATTTACTTTAACGAAATATAATACAGCAAAGCTCCGCATGATAAAAAATGTAACATTCCAACTATTAAGATGGATACAAAAGTATGATATTTCTTATCTGATATTGAATCTGCATTAAGGAATTTTGTATATTTAATCGAAATTGTGTGGTATTTCTGAATTTATGCAGAGTGCAACCAACTTTCTTCGTTCCTCAATGAAATAGATATCCCACAAAAACAAATTGAAAGAAATGTTACATTCCACAAGAACAAATTGTTAAGACAAGGCGTTCTGTCTTCTAATTCCTCATAAATCTATCACTCCTTATCTCCCCCTCTGCTGACCAGATGAGTGGTTCTCTCGCCATTCAAGCCCCCCTCCTCTAGCGTCCACCATGCAAAAGGGGGCAACCCCAAACGATGTGCAGGTTACAAATTATCAATTTGTTTTTGTCGGATATCTGTTTCATTGAGGGATGAAAAAGCTGCTAGTTCCATGGTTGTGCTCAGCCTTAGAAAGGCATTTACAGCCAAGCACCTGATATTGCCCTACTTGTGTGTGAATTATGTTATTGCCCTAGTTGTTGGGAAATTACCAACACGCATGCATATTGAAAATTATTAATTGACCAAACTTGATTGGTGGTTATTAAAATTAACAGGTAAAGGTGAAAAAATGCCAATCGAAGGTTGATAATGGAATTTTTCATAAAAGTACAGATAGTGAAGATTTAAAGAATGTCATGCCGCATTTGGCATTCATTACATATTTCCTAACTCTTAAAATGTCTTTTATTACTTAAACTTATTTTATTAATTGAATTATATTTAAATTAAATCAATGAGTTAATCTTTTTAAGTGAACATTAAATTAATTTATTCTTTTCTTATCGATCAATGTAACAGCTAACTTGTTATTTCAATTCTAATGTAGACTCATTAATTCACTGCAGGGCCTAATCGGAAACAAAAAAATATATATAAATTTTTTAATTCTGAAATTTCTTACCACAAATATATTACATTAAATTTTGAAAGATTTAATTTTAAATAATAATTAAATTGAATCATAAATTAATGTGGCTTTTGAAATTTTTTTAATAAGTCATCCATATTGTACTTAGTTCTTGATGATAATTATTGATTTATGTTCATAAATGGTAATATTTACTCGCGATTATGTGCTGTTCCAAACTTACAACAATATCAGATAGCCAAATAGATGATACGAGAATACAACAATATATGATTGAACTGTTTGAAAAATTGCTTGTTAGCACTAATTTCAAAATTCAATATCACTTAAGTAATGGGTTTTTCCATTACTAAATTTTCGAACTTTTCTTATAAGTTTTTGCCATATTTTCAACAGGCCCTTGTGTACGACAGTTGAAACCTTGCGTTCAGTAGGACATCATGATCTTACTAATTTAGTTATAATAACTTTGATACTAATTTATACATAACTTTGAATAAGATCAATGTATAGGCTAGAAATAGTGTGTACATGCTAATTTTCATTAGAAACTTTTTAAAGAGACACACATGTTAAAATACTAACATAATAAACATTTATAGTTAGTCTAGGTGTTGCATTGAATCTAGACTAACAGGTATGCACATTTTAGTTTAAATCTCATACATTTAGAAATCATTATTAAAATATTATTATATTACTAATGTTCGTGCCCACTGCGACACAAGCACCATCTCTTAGAGTTTTAATTATTTGAAGCAGTGTTAAAAGAGTTCCGCAATTAAGCGGATGTGTGTGAAACAACACAACAGTGAAAATGTTTGTATAAAGTTTAAAATAAAATAATTATTGAGTACAGTCCAATTGTCAGAGTTAATGAAATACATCTGGTTCGTACAAACCGGACTAATTAGTGAGCTATGGATAAATTTTGAGATGTGCAATTAATGTTCATTGTGCGTAAGCTACGACGTATTCAAAGTGAAACTTTAAAATCAAAAGTTAAACTTCTTGGATGAGCATGTAGTGTCAAAGTAGGTGCATGAACTTTCTGGTCATTTACTCCCACCAGTTAAATTCTGTATTTATCCATATGAGTTAAGTGATATATGTTAATTTTTGTGATCATATTTTGTTTGCATATTTGTTTAAAGGCGCGAAAAAAGTAGACTTACAACTTGCCGCTACTGAGTTAGGTGTGATAATAAGTGATAAAATGACAAATATAGATCTTACTAATCTTATAAAAAATACTGAGAGTTACAAATCAGATCATAATATGGTAACTGAGCTAATCGAGGAGATAATAGATGATAGGAAAACAGAATTAGAAGAACTTGAGAAAAGTAAACAACAAGAGTTACAATTGGAACAAATAAAATTAGAGTGAGCAAAAGCAGAATTGGAATTGTTACATAAGCAGCCAGTTCAAAAAACTAATGTGGACGAGTCTCTGGATTCGATAATGAAAAGTAAAAGTATAAATGTATTCCGAGTCAGCCTGAAGTATGGGGTTTATTTTTTGCTTCTTTGGAAAGGTCCTTTATTTATAACAAAAAATGTACCCGATAAATTTAAGGCTGAAATTCTTTTGAACTTACTAGGCGAAAAAGCGTCAAACGTAATTTCTTACATAAGTGATAACGAACTCAGTGATTATGATAAAATAAAAACAATTGTTTTGAGGGAGTTTGAACCGACCCCCCAGTATTGTTTAGAGAAATTTAAGAAAACAACTAGGCACACAAATGAAACCCATTTGCAATTTGCATCACGTTTAACTACTAGCTTTATTTTTTATTTTTTGTCTCACGCGGAAAATCTTTAACGGAGGTCAACAGTCATAAATCGTCTAATATGAGAAATATGTCTAGAGCATTTTTGGCTGATAGCAAAAGTTTAAAGTGTATTATGTGTTTGTGTGCGAGATTAGACATTTTGAACAAATTAACAAACTTGTGCTTCATATGACTTCTAACCCTTTTATTCTTGAATTACTTGATATTAGCAAAAGTTATTCTAAAGTATTGCATGTTATTAGTTATCTTTTCAGATTTATCCACAATGTAAGGAATTCTGGAAATAGGATGTTGGGACCTCTTACTATGAAAGAAAGAAGTAAGAGTGAAACTTTTCTGATAAAAAACGTTCAAAGTATAGAGTTTGAAGAAGAGCTCAAGTGTTTAAGGGCTCAACAAAACGTGTCACACAAAAGTAAGATAAAAAATTTAAATCCTTTTTTTGATGAAGAAGGAGTGTTAAGAGTAAATGGCAGAATAAATCATGCTAATGTAGAATTTAATAGTAAATTTCAAATTATCCTGCCTAAAGGTCATAAAATAAATAGGCTAATTTTAGAGTTCTATCACAAGTGAGATTTTCATTTAGGGCCTACTGCTTTACTACATTATGTTTGACAAAAATGTTGGCCAGTTCAGGGTAAAGCAACGTGCAGGAAAATTGTGCACGATTGCTTTAAGGTAAAACCTTTAGGAGTTGAACAGTTAATGGGAAATCTCCCGAAAGAAAGAGTAAATGCTGATTTTCCTTTCAATTGCTCGGGCACAGATTCACGGAAGGGAATTTACCATAAAATTTATGTTTGCATTTTTGTGTGTTTAGTCACTAAGGCAATACACCTAGAATTAGTAACGGATCTAACCTCAAATGCCTTTATTGCATGTTTAAAGAGATTTGTGGCTCGTAGGGGTTTATGTTCTAAGTTGTTTTCGGACAATGCCACAAATTTCACAGCAGCCAACAAAGATCTATCAAAATTGCATAATTTGGTTTTAAAAGCAGACGATTGCTTGGCTAACTATTTAACAACTGAGGGAATCGAATGGCACTTTCTCCCACCGAGAGCACCCAATTTCGGTGGTCTCTGGGAAAGTGGCGTTAAAGCTTTTAAATTTCATTTTAAAAGAGTTGTGGGCAATTCCAGATTGAGTTACGAAGAATTCCTCACTGTAACAACCCAAATAGAAGGAATTCTAAATTCGCGACCACTTGTACCTCTGTCACCTGATTCTGATGTTTATGATGCATTAACTCCTGCTCATTTCTTAATCGGTAGACCTTTAAACGCTATTGTAGAACCAAATTTAAGTCAAAATAAGGACAATCAACTGTCTAATTGGAAGAAATTAACTAAAATAGTTCAAATCTTTTGGAAGAAATGGCATATAAAATTCCTTAACAATTTACAACAGAGGTCCAAGTGGATGGTAAAAAAGGACAATGTAAAAATGAGCTAGTGCTCCTTAAGGATGAAAATCTACCCCCGCAAAAATGGGCATTAGGTAGAATAATTGAGCTTTATTTTGGCAGCGATAAGCGTGTCAGAGTCGTTAAAGTCAAAACTCAATCAGGAATTTTCAAACGCCCCATTTCAAAAATTTGTATTTTACCTATTAATGTATAATTTTTGTGTGTGTGATTCAATGTTATTGTTATATTGTGTTTTTGTTTTATTTTCATTAATTGCATTTAATGAAATAAGTGTGAGTTAATTGAATGTAAACATGTCAATGTTGGGCGGGATGTTCGTGCCCACTGCGACACAAGCACCATCTCTTAGAGTTATAATTATTTGAAGCAGTGTTAAAAGAGTTCCGCAATTAAGCGGATGTGTCTATACAACAGTGAAAATGTGTGTATAAAAGTTTAAAATAAAATAATTATTGAGTACAGTCCAATTGTCAGAGTTAATGAAATACAACTAACAAGTTTCAGATAATCAGGAACAAAAAAATATTTTACTATGATATTTGGAAACAAAGAATTAACAATGCAGTGCATTAAAATATTATAAGAAAATATACACAATATAATTTGTTAACAGTGGACAATTTTTGACAGTTGAGTTGCAATATACTGAACTTTGCATCATATTAAAAGTGGTTAAATACTATTATGATTAAATTTTAAATTCTGAAAATAAAGTTATTTCTTACCAAGCCAGAACTCATGTTTTTACACAACTTGTTCAAAGCATCACAATCTTGAGTAAAATGAATAAGCACATGCTTGGCTGCAGTTTTCAAAATTGCAAATAAATTGGCTGCTACTATCAATTGCCTGGGAATCAATTGTAGTGAAAGTCTATTTGGCCACTTATCAGCATTGCTAAATAAATAAGACAGGCTTTGGTATAAAAATACAATTCACATAAAACATAAAAAGTGAATAAAAAATTCACTTTTTATTAATATTAATGACAATTTAATGATATTTAATATAAATAATGGAAAATTGAATAGTTACTTACACATCTAATTCCCCTGTATTAGCCACAACAGAAGAAAAGGTACAAGCCAAAGCGTGAGTCACTCTTTGTCCTTGTACCTGCTGTGGGTTAACTTTCTCTTGGAACTCGAGATAGCCCTGCCATATCGTTCGCCTGTCTTTTGTGGTGGCTAAGGGGTTAGTGGGTTGTTGCCCTTGCTGTGAGGTGCCCTGAGAAATAGGCAAAATACCAGGCACTGACTGTAACGGCATGTTGGAAGTAGATGCCGTAGTCATGGTCTGACCTTGAGAAGAAATCAGTTGATTTCCATTGTTTGTGTTGCCTAACTTAGATTGCATAGAGGGCATTGTATTAGACATACTCGTAGTCTGTTGCAGTTGAGGTTGGGAACTTTGGCCAAAGCCTTGGTGTTGATTCAATTGAGGTGCAAGAGGATTAGATCCACCAATTGAAACAGGTACAGATGAAGCTGTAGGCATTCTGAGGCCTATATTAGATAAACTTCCTCTGATACCACCAGCATTTAAAACATCTGAAAACATAAATGGATGAACAAATAAATATAATGATAAAGGATTAAAAAATATGAGCAACAAACACAACAGGAAAAATAAAAAAGCCTGAAAAATGATGCATAAAGATAGTTTTTATGATTTTCCTTAGTTCTAGAAACGTTTAAATGTTTACCCCTTTGGATCACTTCTTGCAACATAATATTGATAAAACCTTATTTTATAATGCTTATTAATTTAAAAATTTTGAAATAAGATTGAGGCAGAATGCCTTGCAATAATGAAATTAAATTCAATTGAATAAATTCTAATTAAATTAAATTCTAAAATTGGAAGCTGCTAGCAAAATTAAAATTGCAAACAAATTGCACATTTTATTTCAAAATATAGATCAATGCAATTCAATTAATAAAAGTAGTTCAATTATGCATTGATCAAAATTGACAAACAATTATTGACTAGCTTAAAAAAAATATTATTGCAAAATATTACTTGGAAGCATCCTATTTTCATACTTCAGTTATTGACTAATAGTCACACATTAAATTTACATAACAACTGATTTAAAAATTGTATTTATTAACAGCACTTACTTTGACCACTATTCATTGTGGATTGTGCTTGAGAAACTATGTTAGATACAGTTTGGTTCAAGGGAATTTGAGGTGAATTTAATCTAATTGGCATATTACTTGGACCTATATTTAATTGTGCAGCAAGAACACTGGTTGTTGGGGGTGTAGATGTAGGAGGTGAAGGTGCAGCAGCTTGATTCCAAGTCATACGGGGACCACCTGTTAGATGAAAGAAAAAAAGCTTAATATCTTCTCTATCTCCCAAAAATGCATTTTAAATGCAATTTGTCTCAGGTTTATTTAATTTTGCCAAACAGCTCAAAAACAGAATAAAAGAAGAAAAATTGCTAAATTCTTAACATAAAAAGAAATATATTTTTTAAAAAAATTATCATTCCACTAATAATACATACAGGTTACATTTCCCCCTTTCAAGGTGATATAAAAATATATATAAAAAAAAAACTCATAATCTGCATAATATTTCCCACTTAAATTTTTTTTTCTTCATAATTAAATCAAAAATATTTATAGACCTATTTTTGATCCTGATTTTTTTAAAATATATATATAATACTGCTACATTATTTTAAAGTAATTTAGTAGTACATATTCACTTTAAAGAACAATCGAATAAAAATATAGACACATACATGTGCATAAATATACAAAGAACATTATTCGGACTAAAGAAAAAATTTGTAAATAAGGGGAAGTCTCTTTACTGGGGACATGATAAGTAAAATATAAATGTGTAAAAATTTAATTACATTTTGTAAAATACCCAAATATAATCTGAAACTTAAATGTAATTTATTTTGCAAAGAAGACAGCTTTTCACGTAAAAAAAAATCTGACATTTTGTTTATCTACCCTTTTTTTTTGTCTTATAGTACAGAATACCAATTCCCAAGGCATGCATTTCTCTCTCTTGTTCTTCAAGTCCTTGGAAGACAATTTTCAATTGCTGCAACATTGAATAATGATGGTGGATCGGAAGACTACCAGTCATCTTCCCCTCTACTAGATTCCAAAAGTACAGCTATTGAAATTTCTCTGATTCGTAAGCAGCCAGATCGTTATTACATTGCAAGCACTCCATGAAGTCAATATCCGCATTCTTTTTTGAAAAGCATTCTTCTGGGTCGAAACTGAAGAAAAATTACCTTTTCTGAAACCATTTACGATATAGCCTTCAGAAACTTTGCTATAGTCTGACAATATTGAATTTAAAGCTGCAGACAAGTTTATTTTTAAAGAAGTTGTATAAGACAAACTCCTCAGTATTTCAAAGGAGTAGTATTAGGGGATGGCACCTGATGGCTGAATGGTAGTGCTTTGCACTGTCATGCAACAGGTCCTTGGCTCAATCTTCGGGCCAGGCAAGGTTGACTCAGGTTTTCATCCCTCCAGTGGGTCGATAAAATGAGTACCAAGCATGCTTGGGAGCCAAACAATGGGGGTTCTGAGTTAGGCTAATCACCCAACCAGAACAGCTGCTCTTGCACTCCAGAATCCAAAGGTCAAGAAAACTGAGATGGGTACAATGGGCCACGGCACTCAATGGGCTGTCTTGCCAATGAGTTTAGTTTAGTATTAGAGGATGCTTTAAGGACCAGAATTTCTTTTACATTAATGATATAGGAAATGATAAATACCTACGGGGACCGAGCTGAAAAGATGTTCAAAGCAGTAAATAATTATACACAGGCAACATATATCCGATTTTTTGTGTATAGATTTAAAAAAAAGATTGAATTGATATAAAATAAAGTAAACCACATAAACTCAGATAACTTAATGCAGAATTTATTATTAAAACTCTGGTATATGCCATCTCACATGACTAAAGATATTCTCAACAGTGTTGTAAACAGCAAGTGTTTTCCCATTGTTTTGTTACTCTGCTTTTAAATTCTCTGATACACAGTGAACACTTTAGCTGAGATAACATAGGTTTTAAAACATATTTCATTGGAGAAAAAAAGAAAAAAAAATGTTTTCATAGAATGAAACTTTAAGAAATACAGAGTGAAAATATTAACAAAACTAGGCTTACAATTAGGAACAGGAGAATGGCCTCTTTGAGGTCTAATACCATCTGAGTGTTGAGGTGGTCCTTTATTAGTAATTGTAACATTGGGAGGGTTTGGCTAAAATAAAGTACATCGATTAATACATTGAGAAGATATTAATAAATCAGTAATCAAGCAAATATGTCTCTAAACAGAATTAACAATTATTCAGTTAAAATACAAATTTAAAAATAAATTTAGTTTTTTTTCCCTAATTAATTTCTAATGTTCTCAGAAACATACGAAACACTGCATTAAAAGCAAACTTTAAAAAACATTGTTAGTAAGTTAACAAAAATAACAACATTTAAAAAGTAACTATTGTCTCTAAAATAAAACACTTTGGATCAGTTGAATAGAATAAAAAAATAGAATTCGATGTTTTTTCTTCCGAGCTCATTACTTAATTACAAAATAATTAGAAGTGATTTTAGTAAATTCAAGTAATTTTGTCAAAAATGTTAACTACTCTCAGATATTAAAATAAAAAAATTAAATTTGTGCTTTATAATTTAAATTTAAGAATCTTTATGTATAAGACATATTTACATTACCCAACAAAATAAACTTTTGAATTATTCATATTTAAGTATTCCAGAACAAAACACTTTTTTAATATTTTTTCAATTTCAAGAAATAAACAATCCACATAAATAAACACATTAACACTTGAACTTGAAAGAATGACAATTTTAATATTATAATACCTTGTTTCTAATGGCATTTTTATTCAATCAGAGAATTTCGTGCAATAAAATTGTGATAAATAGAATTTATACCTGATTCATAGAATTGAGGTGAGATGAAGGCATGGAAATACCAGTTCTTTGTGGCAATGCTTGATTGGGTTGTGCAGGCATAGAAGATTGGCCATAACCACCTAATGGAGACTGTCCTGTACTAGGAGCTTGTAAAGTAGACTGAACAGAATTTTGAGATGTCATTGTTCCACTTTGACTTTCTGAAGTGGGCCATTCTAATCCCCCAGGATTGTAATCTGAAAAATAAAATAAAGATTCAATATTTGTGAAGTCTAATGATACAATTACTCTAATGCAATTAAAAAAAGAAATGTGATTTAAGAGTAAACAACAGAATTTAAACATGTTATTTCTCAGTTAACAGAGTATACAAGTTGAGCTAATAATTTTAAAATAATTGACTAAATATCCCACCAGAACTAACCAATTAATTTAAAGGACATTTTATCAAAAATTTTTTAAAGGAAAAGCATATCAGTGAAAATCTTTTAAATGATCTTGTTAATAAAAATACAAAGAATAAGAGACATTAACCTAAGAGCTAATAAAGATTCCTGCTCATAAAATCAGATACAATCAAACTTTTTCTTCTAATTTTCCTATTATTAGTTAACATTTATATAAAAAAAACCATCTTATACATACCAATTGGGAAAAAGAAAAAAATATATAGAAAAAATCCCCATCAAGATACATAACGTATTAACGGACCAAAGTCACACTTTTTTCAAACATGAATCTTAAAAACCTTCTATTAGGAGTTGATATTAATTTGTACTGAAATGCATAAACTCCTTATCTTTCATATTAAAAATCTATAATCCTTCAAAATCTATCATATTTTACCCATATAAAAATAAAATACATACTCTGTGTATTGGGTTGTTTAAATCCAGCAGTCTCCCTAGGATGAGGTGGTGAATTGGTAGCAGGTCGTTTCTGAGCAGTGGATGTTGGACTACATACAGAAGCAGTAGTAGGTTTGTTTTCCATCAAAGGAGGACTTATAGGCCTCTCTGAAAATATCAAAGTTTGCCATAATGTTTATATTGGGGAAAAAAAAGAAATTAAAATGGAAAGTGAATTATAGGAGATAAAAATGTTTAATTATTTTTGAAAATTACTTAGGAATGATTAATTAATGTATGTTATTATTTTGTACCAACAAGAGAACTTTTTTTTTCAAATATTTTAATCTCACAAACAAAACACAGACATATTTATAAGCACACAAAATACTACTAAAATTAAAATATACTTAATAATGTAAAATTAACTTCGATAATTAATTAATTCTATTTTGTCACCTACAGCTTGAAAATTAATATTTCAGAAAAGCATTATCAATATGTAATCTATTCATTATTAAGTTAGAGAAATCACCAGTTTATTTGAAAAGAGAGTTAAACGGTAGATTAATCATTTAACTGTAAACTATAATTTGAGTTTGGGGAGGAGCATGGCATCTTTCTAAAACAGAAAACTTGTTTTTTTCCTACTAAGAAAATACACTTTAATAGGTTAAAAAAAATTGACTAACTATTAAAAAGTTAAATATCAATATTAAAAAAACACACACTTAAAAACCATAGAAGAAAATTAACCAACCTTGTAATTGGTAACCACTGAGAAGTATACAATGTCGACTATCCTTAGCATAATTCTTTGTGGTGATTTGTTGCATGTCTCCACCAGCCTAATTCAAGAAAAACAGTAGAATATATATATATATATACTATATAAATGAAAACAATATGAAATTATATTAGTACAATAATGTTTATTATGTTTGTCACTCCACTCTACACTGGCAAAGCAAGTGTAGTATCCTGCAAATGGTTGACCAATGCATTCAATCTTATAAATATTTTGAGTTTCTTAAAAAAAAATCAAAAATTGAAGCCACTTTAATAAAGGTATAAAATTTTGCACAACTTACAACTTTTTTTTTTAAAGATTTTGATTAATAATTTTAAAAGAAAAAAATTTCTAATAATCTTACTGAAATCTCCTCTCAATAGCCAGTCCCAATGTTAAATTAAAGTATTACAAATATATAAAACTGTTACATTTCAATAATAATATCATTATAATAATGTTTTTCCCCACTCAAATCACTAAATGTATGTGATAATTCAAGAGGAAATGTGAGTGGCACTTGATTAACTTTTAATCTATTTAATATATTACTTTATTAATAATTACGCTTGCTTTATTATTCTTTTCATTAAGCAAAATTTTTGTGCTTGAAATAATAATGTTTGCTTGTTTGTGTATTATTCAAACATTTTAAAAACAATAACAATAAAGTTACATCTCCATTTAAACCAGTTTATAATATAATATCATTTCAGAACTGTTAAAGCCAATGAATGTAAAAAAGCAGTTTTAAAATGGTTACATAATTTCAACAGTTACTTTGAGGGACCATAAACAAATAAGTAACTAACCAATAATCCTACATATACAGTAATTTTTATTACATATGTTAACAATAGATCAACATATTTAAGAATGTGATAAGGAGACAATACTAGACTTTATCAACATATTTTCTAGAAATTTCAATTATAAATAAATAAATATAAAGTACCTTTTCATAAATTCTGTAAAAGGCAGGAATCTTCCTCAAAGATAACACACTGAAGTTTATATGGCGCTTAAAAAATAAGAAAATAATATATATATATATACACAGGCCTAATTTAGGACTAATAAAAAGACTGATGGTTATTTATTTCGATGATAATTGATCTTATGGTTATAAATTCTTTCTGTACGTAGTAGTAGCATAAAAGTAACTCAAAAGTTTCACATTCAACAAAAAAAAAAAATTACTTATTATCAACATATTAAATCATACTTCAAATTTAAATAATAATAATTTTTAAATGAGGTTTTAGTTAATTTTTAAAAATACTTTAAGAGGCACTTTTTACGCAAGTACATATTCTCAAATCATAATATAAGGAAGAAAGAGAAGATAAAATGCAAAATATAATGACAGTATCAAAATAAAGAATATTTAACAAAATTGAATATTTAAGTAAGATCTACTTTAAATATCAGGCTCGAAAAATTATTAAATATTTTTATTAATAAATGTTAACTGTAAATAAGTAACCTATCTTGATAAACCCTAAATTATCTTGATAATCCCTAAATCTAAAGAAAAAAAACCTTTTTGAACTTACGCTAATTTTATTGATTTTATTTTATTTTCCCAAAAAGTTTAAGAGTATAAAAAAATATATATATAAATAAATAAAATAAATAAATAATAATTATAGGATCTATTTATTCTGTTTCCCAATTATACTGAAGGGCTAAATTTTTTTCACTACACCTTTTTTCAAGAAAAACAAGATTACAAAGAAAAAAAATCCAATAAATAAAATTATCTATTACATAAAACCAAACTATTAAACCCAATGTGATCAGTGTAAAACAATAAATTCTAAATTTTTATTTTGTTTAACAAAAATATGTCTCTTATAGGAAACAATTTTAAAGTTACATGTTTTAAAAAATATCATTCTGCATTTTAAATAATATTACTTAAGAGTTTTCCTACCAACAAATTATAAGTGTTAACATTATTAAAAATATTGAATATTTTTAAGAATTTAATTAACTTACAGTCATTTCTTATTTTTACCAAAATAACTTAAGATTTTTATTGTATTTTTCTATAAAATGATAGATCCTTTAACAACAATACCCCACCTGCTTTTACAAGATTTTTTTTTTCCAATTTAAGAAATGAAGCTTATTAAGAATGTCCTCATTTTCATTTATATGTAAAAATAAGCACATAGAAAAGGAAAAATAAGCTAATGGGGCTCTGTGTTAAAAAATGGCAGGAGCATTTTTGTTCTAATTGTCTTAGATATAAACTTTTTTTCATAATGGAACAGTATTGATCTTCATTTGAATTTGAAATTTATTGATTTTGAATGAAGATCAATATCATTCCATTATGAAAAAAAGTTTATATCTAAGACAATTAGAACATAAATATTAAATGAAAACAAATTAATATAGTTTACTATAAAAACAAATGTAAAATTATGCTTACATCGGCCATTGTTGCTGCTAATTGTTCAGTCATTAAACCAGAATATGCAGAACTTTCCAGAGCAGGGAGTGGGTAGGGAGGAGAGTTACAAATCAAGATGCAATGTTTCTGAGTTTTAATACTTGAAAATAAATAGAATGAAAAATATTAGTTAGTTAAAATATTTACACATTTAAACATAAAAAAAGTAAATAATGAACAACCATAATCAAAAAATTTTTTTCCTGACAATTTGAGAAAAGTTAATTCAGTAAAAAACACTGTTAAAGAATAAAAACTATATCCTCTTTTTAAAAAAACCTGACACAAAGAAATTTCAACGATGCAAAATGCAAATACTTATTATATTTAGAACTCAATTACAAAGAGGATTTAACAGTAGTTAATATCATTAATACTACCATTCAATTAAAAAATGTCTATTAAACTAACAAAGTTCTATAAAATTAAATAAAGATGAAATTAAATTAAAAACATTAACATGTAAGAAAACTAACAAAAACGGAACATATTTATCAATTTAATGTATTAATATTATGTTAGAAACAATGAGCCCTATTATTATTAAAAAGGAGAATATAAATTCATCAAAAAAATAAGAATATAAATTCAACAACAACAAAAAAAAAAAACACTTATGTATGCTATGAAAAAGCAATATAAGGTACTTAAAAAAAATATGAGATGAAAATACATCCTTTTAAACTTGAAAGTTATTGAAGAAAGATGTCAAAGAAACATTATATTTCTAAAATTCTATTATTTTTCCAAATCAGGATGATAGGAATTAAGCAGTTTAGTTTTGTAAGATGTAGAAATATAGCAATAATTACCAGATTCATAAAAATGAACAAAAAATTTTGCAAGAAGTTTTTAATGAGATGAACATAAACAATTTATTTGAAGCAGTGTGCTATCCATTATCAAATATCATTAAAAAAATGGGATAACAAATAATACATTAAAGAACTGTTATCTTGATAAGTGCAAATACAACAATTACAAAGTAATTTATAAAAAATAACAATAAATATTATGAGAAACATTCAATAGGACTAACATCAATCCATTTCCAAACGTCAATTAAAAAATTGACATTTGGAAATGAAATGGAACAAAAACTTAGAAAATTGACAACTCTAAAACAGAGCATTTGTTCTTAAATTATGTGTCTAAAATAACATAAAAATTAACTAACTTGCTATCTCTGATTGTATGAAAATCATCGAAAACTTGAAGTGCTGTGCTTAATCCTTCAGCAACATGGCTGTGGGATTCACCAGCTCCACCAATGAATCTAAAGTTCAAAAAAGTATGTATCATTTGTATAGAAATAACCATATACCGAAAGCATAATACATTATTATAAATTAAAATATATAGACTATAAAGTAAGATAAATCTATGGTTTTCATAGATTTAAATGTGCATATATACCCCATGGGAGAATCATGGAGACATTGTTGCAGTATGTTACAGAAAGATATCTCATTAGGGAGACAAATTTTGGCTTTCATTACAGCCCAAGTTTTGCAAGAAACAAAAGTTGATCTGCAAAAAAATTTCCCACCAGAATTTCTTGAATGATGTTTTTCTCCCAGCAAAATTGTTCAAAAAATTGCTTTCTTAGTACACTGGAGTGGAAGGAAACACTACTAACCCTATGGAGCCTTCCACACTGAATGTTGTACACTTTTAGAATGCTCACATGAACAAGGTTCTGAGAAAGTTTGTATTTTACAACATAGTAGACAATTGGAATACAAAAGCAAATTGATTATCATGATTCAAATTGATTAAGAAAAAAATATATTATGTAATGCTCACCTTTCATATTTATGTTTTCACCGGAAGAGTCATTCTACATTTTTTTCAGTTAAAAATATTACTAAAAATATACTAGTAAAAATTTAGACCTAAGCTATCCAATTTAGAAATTTTTTTTATATACTATTTTAATCAATACACATAGGCCTTTTTCATAAACTCTCATAAAAATTTTTATCTCATTTGGCAAGATGGCAAATGCTTAGCGCGGACCCTGCATATATATCTGTTGCTATTAAAAATATATCATAGAAAGATATTGATGCTAGTGAGGTGTGTTGCAGAAAACCTAAAAAATTACTGCCTCAGGAAATATATACATGCATGTATTAAAACCATCTCTTTAAAAAATGTTCATAAAATTGTACACAAAATATCTTAGAAACAAATAAAAATTTTTAAAACATTTATTTACAGAATACTCACTTTATTTTTTCTAGCCATGTTAAGAATTTATGAGTACTTGGAGTTGGACCAAACACAGTCGCAGCAGTTTCTGGAGCACAATCAGCAGCCATAAATACAACCAGTGCATACATGGTGCAGTTGGTCTGTAACAAATAATCAAGACAGTCTATTATTTTCTTAAAGGTCTAAAATTAAGATAAAACTTAAAATATAAACGAAATTGAAATTCTTACATCACAGCCACAATCGCGATCATCAGCAGGACCTCCATTGAAGTATCTAAAATACATAAAAAAAGATAAATATTTAAAATTGAACTAAAAACATATTTTTCAAATATTTGTAAACACTGAAAAAAAAAATCCTATGTATATAAATAGCAATGCAATTAAGTCATTTCAAATTAATGTGATTCTTTTTATAGATGCTGCATAGTTCGTTTTAAATTTATATTAGTTTCTTAAAAAATTTTTAAATATTATTCAAGAGTATTTATCATTGATTTCAACATGCAATAGCAAAATATCACGTATTTATTGCTTTCAAAAATTATTTAAAGTTGCCTATTACAATATATTCAATAATTTTAGAGACTTATAAACAGTAGTAACATTTTAAATACTAAAATAAAATTCATTACACTCATCCTTGTTTTCAATGAGCAGATGTGAAAAAGTAGATGCTCATTTAAAAAAAAGCACTCTTAATTTACTTTAAAAATGCTTATATGTAATTTTCTACAAGTAATGCAGCAAATACTATTGACTACAATGATCATCAATGAAGCTACACTTATATTTAGGAACATTAACTCCCTCATTGAATGACAATTAATACTGATTAATTAAAAAGTAACACAACAAAATTTAAGACTGGTGGTATAAAACCCTGTATTGGTCTGCAATTCTATGTAAAATTCTGCACATAAGCTGCAGAATGCAATGGTATCTCCAAACCAGAACAATACAAAATTTCAAATTAAACATATAATATCAGAGCGTTATAAAAAATTAATGAAATATTAACATCACAACAAACAGGTGATATAAAAAGAAAGCAAACTAAATTTGTGCAGTTTCAAATTAACTATGCTATTGGGAATTTATGTAAAAAATTTTATAAAAGATAGTGCTAATAAATAATGGAAAACTTACTCTAAAGTAGGAATAATGTAGTTTGTTTTTAAACTTTCAAAGTAGGGACTTAGATTTGCCGTCCCTTCCAAGACAACAACAACATCAGCTTGCCAACTACTTTGATCTGCTACAACCATGATGAAATAATAATAAACTGCAAATAAATAGTATTTTAAAAATATGACATGTAATCTTAAGCTTATGACATAGAAGACACAAGTTTTCATCAGAATAATATAAACAAAATAGAATTAACAATGCTGTAAATGCAAAATGACAATTCATTATGAGAAATTTCTAAAGGTTATCTGATATAAAATTATCAGTATCTTTCCGACTCATATTTTTAGTTTAACTAAAATGAATAATAGTTAGTCCATTGAATAACTAGTTTAAAAAAAATACTTAGTCCATTGTAATCTTTAAAAACTTTATTCACTTGTGAACAACAAATTATATTTTCATCCAAGTAATGAACATTACAAACATGTACAGTTTCAAAAACCTAATAAAATATTATATACAGTATCTTAAGAACATCCCTTGTAACAGAAGCACACAGAACATTACAGAATTGTTTTCATAAGATTGTCGTACCTGCATACTAGAAGGGAGGGGGGGGGGGCGAANGGGGGGGGGGGGGGGGTACGAAATTTCATTCCAATGTGTTTCATTGCTCAGCTATTAAATTTAATATTCCCATGTTTTTTTTAAAAATGCTTTTATTACCAGATCCGCCAGAATCGATTAGAAGTCCAAGTAGGTTAATCACTTTTAGACATGCTTGATTTACGCTGAGATTGCAGTAAATTCATGTCATGTTTCAATAGCTTTTTTACAGTTATTGATATAAATTGTGAAGCTTTTTGTTTTTTTGTTGAAAAAATTCTGATGTTTCTCTATGAAAATTTTATTACGCCAAGCGAAATTAAAATCACATGTTTGAAATCCCTTTTAACGTGATGATTTTACCATTTTCTTCAACAGTTAATGCTAAATCATTTCCATTTGGTTTTAAAATTCAGGTATTTTCTTGTAATATTATTACGACAGGTGAAATTTAAAATGCATATTTAAATTATCATGTGTTAAAATGCCCAGTTTACAATGACAGTATCAAAAATTTAAGTGGTGGTTTGATTTTTTGTTTGTTTTTGCAGTTGTTACTAATCCCTCTTACAGAGCTCATTCTAGACAGGGTAAACAGGGCGCAGCACCCTGCTGCCCTTTTAGTCAAAAGAATCCACCCTGTTTCCCCTGAAGTAAATTAGTGCTCTGATGTAATAGACTCCATACCCTTTTTGCTCTTTCTTTCCTCAACCCTTCTTTATTTTTCACCCAAATTCTACAATGGATTTATAAAACTTTTGTTATTTTCAACTCGTTTTATTTAGTTTGTCATTGCTGTCAATGCATAGATTTATATGGGAAAGGAAAAATAGCCATCACACCCCTTGTTGCACTTGTCTTTGAAAGTTTGCAGTTACTTCCACTATCATTAAATCATAATTATTATTAATCATTTTAATTATTAAATCATAACTACAGACACTTAAAAACATACATTTATTGTTTTATTAATATATGCATGCATTTTAAATAAATTACTAAACTAATTAGCTCATTAACTCGATATATATGTTAATTTATTAATAAAAATTACTAATTAATGATTGCTTTGCTACTTTTAGTAAAGTTAAAAAAGAAATTTATTTTACTAATTGACAATGTTTTTTAAAAGAACGTGTAAAGCCCATAGAAAGAAATTATTGCCTTTTTAGAATAATAATGCCCTTTTTTTAAACTTATGCACCCTGCCCTTTTTTCTGCCTAGAATGAGTTCTGCCTCTTACATGGTTTTTAAAGGTCATGATATAATTCACATAAAATGGGAAATTTTAATTGTGTATTTACTTTGTCATGGAATGATTTTATTGTCTTTTCCATTGATTTTTTGACAGTTTTTACTATTAACTTTCACATAATATTTAAAACTTGACATTTTTAATACAATAATAACCTACAACAAGTGGATCTTGAAACACAGATTCAGTAGTCCTTTTCAAAGAGTCCGGTTGGTGCGATTTCATTATAAATCTACCCAATTTTGTCACCAATAATTTTGTTTCAGAAATTATTGCCACAGATTTCACGGTTTTTACATTTTCCCTTTTTGATATTGATAACTTGTAAAATGCGAAAAAAGAAATTAATGTTTCTTGTCTTTTTCAAAAATGGAAGAAAATAGCCATAATATTAGAATAAATATTCTTTTATTAGTTGATGATAAAATTATTTTACATTTACTATTAAAAACAAGTTATCTACAGTTTTATTTTATTTTTGGATACATTTTTTAGATAATCAAAGTGCTTCTGTTGTTAAAAATTACTAACAATTATTATTGTTAAAATTGTCTTGCTGAAAGATATGAACACTAAAGAAGTTCAAAGATGTACTCAATGGGGGGGAGGGGAGAGAAGACAGGAACATTTGTCCCAGCACCCGCACCAAATTTTTTCTTGAGAAAAAGTAATGTTTTTTAACACAAAATTGAAGAAAATTCTCTTATATGTCGTCTATAAAAACTAAAACCTTGAATAAAGCCTCGTAAAAAATTCCAGTAAACATGAAAAGAAAAATTTTGTGTTTTGAGGAAGGGGTCTAAAATGGGTCCATAAACCTGTGTCCAACCTTGAGAGGTTTGCCACACAAAGCTACAAAAATTCTGTCACAAGGATAATAATAATCATAAGAAAAAACTGTTTTGTGAATTTATTGGGCATGACATTCTCAATCATGAATTAATATTTTTCTTTTTAACATGATAAATCTCTATGAAATAAAAAAGTAGAATGACTAAGGGCTAAAAAGTTTAATGTGTTATTCATTATAAGTAATTCAATGAATACAACTCTAATTTGAAAAATTCTCTGTTATATTGATTTTCCTAAAAACCGTAAGACTTAATATTATAATTTAATTGGTCTGAAAGCTGAAAACAAGTCTACAGAGCCAAAAAAAAAAAATTGTTGCTTACATTTTACATACATAATTGATATAATTAGTTCTATACAAAATTTATATCAACAGTAATTATTACTAAAATTAAACAATTTTAATGGCACAATAAAATTTACTTAGTTTTTCTTCTTTATCACAATTAGCTATTGCACATTTCATGGCTTGTAAGCCCTTCATTAAACAAGTTTTTAATGCATGAATAAAATTTCAAAATCATAAATATAATTTGTGTTATAAATGTATAGTTCAAAATACATTAATTTTAACAATAAAATGGTTTAATTTAATTTCCACAATAAATCTAACTAGTAGCACAACATAATATTTATAATGAAATAATTCTAATCTATAATAAAACAACACACTTTGCTATTTTATTCTAGCTTCACATTAATCATGTATATCCCAATTTAGCAATATAACTTTAAATTTGATCTGAAAACACCAATTACTATAAAAATTTATGTATTTATTATAATATTTTAAAAATGTCTCTCATAATGAAACTCGACGAATTAAGTGTTTTAAAAGTTAAACTGTATTTTACTTTATTTTTCAAAATCATCTGGGCATAATGATCATGAATGCTTTATATCACACATAAGTTTTAATATATTAATTATTCCATGATTATATGCTTTGATCACCAAAAACTGATTTGTCTCAGTTTATTTTAAAATTAATAGAACATGTCATAAAATAATTAATATGATAGATAAAGTAAAGTAAGAGCTGAGGAGAATTCTTTTACAATTCACAATTTTTATTTTTTAGAAGGGTTCACTGAGATTATTACTTATAATAAGCATATTTCAGTGACATTCACAGATTTGTAGATTTATAACTAGAGTTAAATTCTATTCTGTTAAAGCTCGATTAAAAAAATTTCTTGCGAATGAGTTTAATATGAGAAAAAAAATGGCTTAATATGCAAATATTTTGAATTTATAAAGTAACGTTATTTGAGAGTATATAAATATGAAACAACTATACACTAAACTTATTTTTAACCAGTGTGTTTTAAACAACGATCTTTCATTTTCACTAAGGACAGAACTGATTGCACTTTAGTGTAGAATGAATCACTTACCAAAAACAAAAACTTATACAATTCAAAGATCACATGCTATGTGTATATTAACAGCACATAGTTTGAACAGAGTTCAATACTTTCAACAACGAATTAACGAAAGATTATTTAATAACATAGCATTTAGTAATAAGAAACCAATCGATCTCGTCATTCGGGATGCTTACAGCTACAAACAACAGTGGCGCAGATGTTTCTGATACTTATGTGAAACGGTTCTAGCTGCTTATTTCTGTGGGACACAAAATAGATAATACTGGAATATTGGAGCATTCCAACGAGTAAGAAGGGCAGAGCAAGAAGCATTCTCACAGTACTTCGCGTATGCGATACCACGTAAATGCGATTATTGACTCACAAAAAATTATATTTTTTCACATGCGAACGAGAACCACTAATTGGCGAGTTTTTCAGGGGTAATTATTTCGGGGGTATTATGGTTCTCGTTCAATTTGGTTCTCGAAAAAATCGCAGAGAGTAAGAATAGTCCTTTACGTGTAGTTAGTTTGGAAACATTCGCTCGATTGTGCAAGGCAATCGGTTGATCAGACTGATTTTGCATGGTAGAAAACTAGTAGTCACTCTAGAATTTCAGAAAAAATTTCGAATGATAGAAAATTTCATGATCTCTTAAGGAGGTAGGTACTTTATTTACATAGTACTAAGTACTAGAGCTGCACAATGAGCTATTGGCGACGGTATGAGAAACATCCCATGGATGATCCGAAGATATGGTATCGCACTTTTTGATCCTCTGCAGAGGGGATGACTCCCCTACTTTGGTAACCCGATGATCTGAAGATAAAACAGTTTAGCTAGGACTGATACCACACACCCTCGGTCTATACACAGGCTGATCACAGCGGACACCTACCCGCTTACTGTCCACAGCCAATGATGCTTAACTTTGACGTTCTTCTGAGATCTGTGCCCTTACCATCAGTCCACAGCGTGGTGGTCTCTTAAAAAAATTAATTTAAAGATTATTGGCTCTACAGGTAGCGTATAGCAGAACTCTCAACTTATGGCAACACTCCGCATGCTTTCACCATTAGCGTGTTGAGAGTCATAGAAGAAGGAAGTACGTTAAATTCTGTCTTGATTTTCAAATAGATTAAAAACGTTTAAGTTAGGAAACTATATGGAAATAGAAACTACGTTAAACATAGTTCTAAAAAAAAAGAAAAAAAACGCCATGGGAACTTTAAAAAATGCTTTTGACAATTAAATACGAAAAATATTAACAGAGGGGAAAATATCTATACAAATGAAAAGAGGAGGAAAAAAAAGGGGAGAGGGTCAAGACATGGAACTGGTCTTCGCCGCAGACGATGTATTCGATCGCGAATAGAGCATGGCTCTCAGCTATCATTCAAAATCAGTGACTTTCTCTCATACTCAATCCTTATAAACTCTATAATTCTTTTGGTCGGATTTTATTTACGTCCCACTAGAACTGCATAATGGGCTATTAGCGACGATCCTGAGGGTGATCCGAAAGCTAGCCATCACAATTTTGATTCTCTATGGAGGGCAGGGCTTCCCTAATTTGGTAGCGCAACATACAGCCGGCGAATTGGAGAACTATACGGTACAACAGTTCAACAAAGGCCGATACCGCACATCCTCGGTCCTTCCGCAGACAGATCAAAGTAGATCAGTAGTAGACAGAGGATCCACCCGCACACTGATCGCTGCCAGGCGGGCTTGGCTTCGGTATCCTTCTGAGAACCGTCTCTTAACGGTTAGTAATTTTGGGGAATAATTCTTTGACTATGGATATATTCAAAGCATCATAGTCGATCAAAATATTAATTTAAAACCGCTTGTAAAGTTTACATTAAATTTCATTAATTTTCATCGAATTGAGAAATTTAATATAATACATATATGACTTGGGGTATCCATTACTGTATGTACATATTTTTCGGTATCTGCACATAAATAGAAAAAAGCTATTTTAGATAACTAAAGGAGGTTAAAATAGATTGTTCAGTTAGAAATACGTTTTACAAGACAGGCATTATGAAATTATCGATAAAATTTTTCACATCGAGATGCAGTTGCTCATTCGATGCCATTGTTACTTTAAAATAAAAATAATGAGTATAGGAGCCAGCGATTAAAAATGAAAACAAGCAAAAAAAAATCTTAATATTTATTACGATTTAATTAATTGGTTTATTACAATTTATTTCAGTATTTTATTAAAATAAATTGTGATAAACCAAGACTATATGTATGTAAAAGGGAAAGGAAAGCTTTATCCCTTATTAAAAAGAAAAAGATTCTTATTTAAATTTGTATGGAGCTACGTTATTAAATGCAAATAAATTTAGACATCAAACTTAAATGATTTCTTAGATTAATGTTAAGTCTCATAATTAGTAGTATAAAATTTTATGTCGTTTGAATTCTTCACAACCAACATAAACTGTGAAATAAAATAAAATTATCAACCAAAAAATAAAAAAAAACATAAATAAACAAAAAGAGAAAAGAAATAAAAGAGAAAAAAATAAACAATTCCATACGAGTAACATAACAATTATTCAGACTTTCAAAACTTAAAAATACATTTGCTTCAACTAAAAATTTTGGTCTGATTGCATGTTCTTTCCTTAGAAATCTTTCTCTTTTATTTTTATATCCAGTTTAAAAACAAAGTTTCAAAAGTGAAACATGTAATCTGCTTTCATTTTTCTTCTCGACCAGAATTTTAATTCATTAATTAGATAAAAAAATACACATTTTCTTTGCATTATAGTGGTCTTTCTTTTATGAATAGTCATTTTATTTTATTTTAACCAAAATATATTCATATAACATGATAATTGATACCTCAATTTATATGGAATAGGTATAGGTCAATTTATATGGAATTGTTTAGTAGAATAGTTCAAATAAAAATAACAGTCATAATTTTAAACTCAGTTGTGTAACATATTCGTACCACTTTATTTCAGAACTAGCGTTGAGATGTTGATCTATATCGAATTTGCTATATACCTATAATTTTCAAGCCAACTCAGAAGACAGGAAGACTTTTCGATCAAACGTATGTATAAGCTCGACTTCGAGGTCGGCTTTTTGTATAAAACGTGAAACTAACTCACCTTTGCATTCCGGAATGCAAAGGTGAGTTAGTCCTTCACGGTCGAGAAGAAGACAACTACTAAACCCTTCAAAGGTAAAATAAAACTTGCAAGAAGGTCTACAGGTTATAATATCAAAAAACATCAGGCTATAAGCCTGTTATTCCTTTAGGAAAGTGGATACTCGGTTAAGGTAAAATAGTTAATACAATCTGATACGGATAGAAAATGCGGAAGTTTAATTACCTACAATGTTAACTTCTGTTAGGAGTTACTACACGTTGCAAGCATCACGCATCCCTTAGAAGTAATTACTTGATAAATGTTAGATCTTGTTTGTTCTACATTCTATTTAAAGCATTGTTTGTTCTACATTCAATTTCTAACATTCTATTTAAAGCAATCGCTTCAAATGTGTGTTGCACTGAAACCAATTAAGTTGAGAGCCTCAATAAGTTGATTGCCTGTCTAAGTTGATTTTAATTAACAAATACACATGTTATAAAAACAATTAATTTACCCCCTTTTATTACTATCAAAGCAATTATTAAAGCAAGTTGGCCATTAAATTGTTGTCGCACAAGTTCTCAACTTTCAAAGGGTGTTCCATAAAAAAATCTTTAATATATATTTTTTAGAATATTTATCAATACTTAAAACACGAAAATGCCTTCAAAATCTGACAAATCACAGGCGAATGTAATAAACAATTCTGACAAGAAAAGAATGTAATAATAAAATAAACAAGATATGTAATATAATATTGTAATAAACAAGACACGTAATGTAATAATGTAATAAACAAGACACGTAATGCAATGATGTAATTAACAAGACGTGCTTGGACGTAAGAACAGCGAGGAGTTGAAAGACGATTACTAGAAACATTATCATGTTTAAACCTCCATTAAACCTGTTTTAAGGTTTATTACACTTGCTTTAGTTTACTGTAATTAATCATTTTTGTTTTTTCTTCGCTTAAATATTAATTTCCGATAACCAATGTGTATATTTTTTTCGCATCACATTCGATAAGAATCTTTAAAATACACATCAAAGGTAGACTTTACAGATCACTTCGTATATTGTCCACTATCTCTTTTTCTTCCTGTATGAATGAAGATCTGTACTAATTTGCAAATTTTTTTGAAAAATGAATGCATTAAGAGGTATAATTCATTTATATTGAAGTTGCTTAACGGCTGGTTCGCAATATTCGTTATTGCCTATACTACATGGTTTAATGAATGTAATGAATGCATATTTTTAGAAAAGTTAATAATTCTCTTTAAATGAATATTTTTAATAAAGTCTTGAAATTTATAATTGAGTATTTGTCTCATCGTTGAAAATTACACTTAATCCTTTGGCACCGATGGGACACTGGTGTATCTTTCCTATATTTTTTTTCCGACACTCTAATTACAAGCGCAAAAAATGAATTTTGGAATTCTTTTAATAATAAAAACCAGTCTCATGGTTACTAAAACAATCTGTTAGATTATCGGAGTGATATTTGTTTTAAAATACAAAACCTAAAATTTTTTTTTTATATATTCTCAAAATCAATAACTGATTTTGTAAATTAAAAAACTTTCAATCAAAAATAACTGTTTCTCTTAAATCTAAGCAATAAAAGTAAAATAAGTGCAACTTTGAAAAATTATTATTTGGAAGTTAGCCGTGTTTGGAAGATTTTACCTTTAACGCAGAAAAGGTACCTTTGTTTTACGCTGTATTTCATAACTATACATTATTAAAATACTAAAGATTATGTTTTCCCCTTATTTTGTCCTAAAATAATACAAAATATAGAAAAAATAATGAAAAATATATTTAATAAAAATTCTGCTTCAAAGGGTTAACATTATTGAGTTCAGATAAAAATGTAATGATAGTTTGTCTTATAAGCTTATGTCCCTTTCTTAAATCACTGCTTCCTGTCAAACAGAAAATGGATCCTTTATCGTAATCTATGTTATCTTCAACTAACTGATTCATACACCAAGAACTGGTTGTGGTCATTTTATAGTTAAGTTTCTTATCAGCTCCATGAATACGAGAAAATTATCGCCAACTTCTCACAGAGACTAAACCTTTTTCTCACGTGAACTACTAGAAATCACACAGATTTTATATTGACTCAACTGATGTCTCAATTTGAGCCTAAAATTTCGTATTAAAATCTATATTTTTTTAAATGCAAACATTGTGAAAATATAAATCCAAATATATATTCAGCATAAAAATTGTTATGGCTGCTGTTTCAGAGGATATAATACGTAAGTTGACACATTATTATATTTTCATTGTTAATGAATTCAATAAGTAATGTTAGTATTTTTTTTATATTGCTTTTGTAATGCATATTCTATACAGTGTTAAGAAATGTTTGTAAGATGATTTCGATACTTTTTAAATATTTGCTGCTCATTATGGTGTATTCTATAAAGCGGCATTTGCCCCCCCCGCCCCTATGAAAATCGCCAATTTTTATCGATCTAAGTAAAATGATTTTGCTCGTTTTGTATGTATTTGAGTATGGTCTCATTAATGATAGAAATTAATCGATATACATTTTATGACAGAAACATCATTCTTTATCGTTATTATGATTATAGATTAATTTTTTTTTACTCTTATGAGTCATTTTTCAATGTTTTATTTATTTTTTTAAACCAAATTTAGTCTTTAACATTAATTTTATTTAAAAATAAAACATTGAAGAAAAAGAATTTTAGAACATTTTCTATAATTAGGGAAATGAATCATTTATTTTTTTGTCATTTAGTATTTTCTTAAAGAGCAAAACCGAACAATATATAAAGCAACTAAAATGCAAAATAAGACAATGTTATGCCATTACAGGCATTACATGTTTCCTAATTTTTAATTTTATAAAATTTAATTTTTTCAAATAATTTCTTATCTTATTCAATTAAATTAAACTAAATACTTATTTTTTCTCGCATTTTATTAAACGGCAATATAAATATTTAATTCTTTTTTTCGCAATTAATGTAACTCCTAACTTTTTAACAACACAAACGTATAACTCATTAATTCACTGTCGTTATTAAATCAAACATCAAAATCTATTTTTAACTCTTTATTCTTCAAACTGCTTTATTTCTCCAACAACATTAATGCTTCATTTACAGGGTTATATTAATTCTCACGGTCTTTTTGGTGATTAACCTGTAGCCAAATTATTTAATATTTCAATTTGTCAATAAGGCGGGGTTGGCTTCATTATTGGCTATTTTATGTATCGATAAATCGCCAATTATGGATCTTTTCTCATGTCCTAAGTGTTTGATTTAATAAAAAATTCTTAGCGTTAGGATTGGGAGATTTTGGAAGCCCAAGGGCCTCTCAGTCGATCAGTTAATTAATTCCAGAAATTTTTATCGTCTTTTTTTAATAAGTTGGTTGTTATATTCTCTATAAAAGCATATTACTTTGTTGCTGCTTATTATTTTGTTATCTTCCGCATATTTGTATCTTCCATAAATATTCTCTAAATAAAGCAACAAAAAATTTTGTTCAAATTTTCTTGTTGGTAAATACAGAATTTCTTTTAAAAATAATAAATAAAAAACCCCTGGTTTATTCAAAACTAGCTCAATACAAATTATTGCCATTTTGAAAAATTTATTTCGCAATTTAAAAATATTTACTGTTGGTGCCATAATGATGATGTCTAACCCTTTGACGAGGCTGAGACACCGGTGTCTTTATATATTTTTTCTGACCCTCTAATTACACGCAAAAATTTATTTTGGTGTTTTTTAATTGTAATATATAATTTAATAGTAACTAAAAAAATCTGTTTGTTAATCGGAATTATATTTGTACTAAAATATAAAATCTGAAAAATGTAATTCATAAAATTGTTTTTTTTTTCTCTTCATATTCAAAAATGTATTAATGATTGATTTTGTGAATTAAAGAAATTTTAATAATGAATTCTTGCTTCTTCTAGATCTAAATAATGTTTAAAAAAAAAGGAAAATACAAATTAAAAAAATTATTGTTTGAAAGTGGGCCGTATTTAGAGGATTTTATCTCTAACACAGAAGAAGACACCGGTGTTTCCTGCTGTTCAGATTCTATATATAATATTTAAACTTATTTTGACCTAAATTAAAACAAAATAAGGAAAAAAAGTCTGAAAAATATGTTTAATAAAAATTCTGCGTTAAAGGGTTAAACACAGTAATTTTTTTTTTGTTTTTGTTTCTATTGAAAAAGTTCTAAGCCGGGATTTAGTTTGTATTGAAACTAATAATTTTTGATTGAATACCAAGTTATACCGTTTTTTCAGGTTGTATAAATAGAAAATATTCCAAAATCCAGAATACATTTTGTAACTATACGGATTATTGAAGTTTCACATTTTACAATTTTGTTGTTGTTTTCTAGTGTGTTGATAAACTTTTCTTTTTATCTAGATTCTCAATTAAAAGAAATCTTGTCTTCAACTTACGTATCTCTAGACTTCGATCAAGAAACAAGAGATATCTTAAGGAGAGATATGGAGCAATGTTGTTGTGCCCACAGGCATCCGGATTGTTCAAGAACAAAATCTGATTCCAAACCAAAGAACAAATTGTTAGACTTTTTCAAATGTAGTGGAACAAAAGATAAAGACATGAGTTGCGACGATATTTTCTACACTGCAAGCAGTAAAACACCCTTGCGAGCAATCGGTGTTAAAATGGCTGTCACTTCCACACATAATGACAGGTAATTTATTTTGCGTTTTCAAAACCGTGCTGTGCTAAAATAGTTTATACTGTGCTAAAGTTCACCAAGACGCAATGGTAGATTCCGTCAGGACGCAAAACAATTGAAATTTCGAAAATACTTGTATGGTATTAAAAATATCTTTATTCTTGTTCTTTAAACAGGTGTTTTTAAAGTTAATATATTATTTAAATTAGATAACAAAGCATGCTATATCCTTACACAGTGATAATATTAATGTTGTTGCCATGTCAGTGATAATATTCTAATTAATACAGAATTTTTTTATTGTAATACACGTAATAATTGAATGATTTTTTTCCCGATTTTGCTCTTTTATTGTTTTTATTTAATACAATTTTAAAACGCTAATAACTGAGAAAGTACATTTCATTGCCTCTTACCGTAATCGAACAACTACGCAGGCAGTTTTTCATTAAGATACTTACTTTTCTGTGAATCAATAACAAATAAATATAAAAAACAGCCATAGCTCTTGGTATTTAAATTATTTTTTTCTGACGCAGTCTAAAGACTAAAAATGTAGAACTATTAACTTTGAAACATACACCGTTTCTTTAGAAACCACTATTCAATAAACAGTATAAGAATTGAAATATATCTTTTACGTAGAAATGCGCTATCTACGGTGGCAGTTTGCTTATGACATGACTGACCGAGCTGTTGACCGAATTCGGACAGACCAAAATTTTTATTCGAAATTTCCTGAGCTGATTTAAATAGTAATCAATTACAATGGGGCACCTTATTCTTTTTTTCACCTATTCTAACAAAATATTTACCTAAAATTTTTAAATCCACCTAAAATTTATGTTCTACACTAATGCATTTTTTTTAGTTTAAATAATCTGCATTGATAAATTTAAATGATGCTAATCTTTAAACTAAGTACTGTTCCCCCCGCCCCCCCCCCAAAAAAAATCAACTNCCCCCCCCCCAAAAAAAAAACAACTTCTTTTTCTTTCTAAATGCTTTAATGATTTTAAAGTAATACGAACGAAAGACTAACGAAATTAAAAATATAAAGATTATAAATTTATTGAAACTTGTTGTTTTTGAACATTGACTGAATATGTAAAAAGTACAAATCGTAAAAAAAAACAAGAAAAAAAATTAAGAAAAAATAATAATTAAATCATCGAGAAGATACATGGAACATTTTTAAGATGTTGCAAATATAAATATTATTATGATACATTTAATTAAATATATTTTTTTGATTTATGAATGTTTTAAGCTGCTAAAACATGATATTAATGCATTGAAAGTAAAAAAAAAAATTATATATTTTTTTGTTTTCAAATTATAGGGGATTATAAACAGTTAAATTCTTAAAAACGATTCATTTTCAAAGTGCATATCTTTATCACAAGTCATTATTTTGTTTCTTTTGCAGTGTTTGCAAATAATAAGCTTATGAAACAGCCTATTAAATGGACATAAACATAATGATTGACTAATTTAGGGCCATAATAATAATACACTCGGCAAAAAACGGTCAAAAAGACTATTAATTTTTAATTTAACTTGACTGAAAAATATAAAATAACAGTGCAATCAATTAGTGAGTGATCTTTTCTTAGTAGAGATAAATTTTAAGTAAATCGGACTAAAGATTTTAAAGCATCGCATTTAAAAATTGAGGAAATAAAAAGAAAACACATTTGAAATATAAGGTTAAACAAGTGTCGAGGTATGCCACCTTATGGGTAAATGGTCTTTCAAATTATCGTAACTTCAGCTATAACTGAGATAGAAATAAAATTCTAATGGTTATGAAGAGATGAAAATAAATTATTTAATATTATGAAAAAAATCTGAAGTTAGAGAATGTAGTCATCCTTGGCCTATAAAAGGTATTGAATTAACAGCAAAATTAGTTTGACAAGCTAATTATATTAAAATATAATTAGTTTTTGTAAGTAAAATTGAACGATTGGTTTATCGCGATTGCCAAAACCCCTCCGCGCATCACAAACGTCCTTATTATTTTAGAAAGAAGGAATTATGGTACCTATACATATAGCCAATTGAAATTTCAACCTCTTTGCAACTAGTTTGAGTATTCAAATTTCCACTGAATCTAACTGGCTAATGACATTACAAATCAATGTTTGTTTATTTTACAAGTTTCAATCGTTTTACTTCTTCACATGTTGGAAATGATTTGATGCAAAATGTATTCGTAAATTTCAGGATGTACCTTTCAAAAACTAGGTACTTTGAAATATGTACTAATAGAAAAATAACTGATGCATTGATGCAGACTCACCTTTACTGTGAACTCTGTAACTCATAATTCGCTGTTTCTATAGTTCCTAATTGAAGGAATTTTTAAGATTAGAAAAAATAAAACTTTAAGCATTGAAAAAAGTTATAGAGTGGTATTATTTTTAGGAAGTCGAAATTGGTTTCTTCTTTTTAGTCTACTTGAAAGACGGAATTTTTTTTATTTTCTTTATTATTTTCTTCTTTTTAGTTTTGGGTCTGTCAATTTGAAAGAGGTCGAAATTTGAGTTGACGATTAAACGAAGTTAAATTTAGTTATGAACTTGTATTATAGGAAAGCAAAACGAAAACTTTAAAATCTTAATATTCTCTTAAATATAAAAAAAAAGAACAAGTAGGCATTGCAAAGATGTAAAACCTAAGATACATAAAATGTGAAACAATAGTATTTAAAATAAAGGAGATAAGATTTTTTACAGTCTGATTTACATTTTTGTTTTGTTATTGAATCATCGTACGAGTTTTCACTGCAGTGTTTTCTAAAATTAATTATGTATATAGAATCCATAACAAACATAAATGATTTTATCATATATATAATATTAACTTATGCTGAAAATTTCAAACCAATCCCTTGATTATTTCTAAAAAAACTTTGAAAGTCCTTTGTCGTCTTAATGCTAGAAAATTTTGCAAGACATAGACATTTCTGTGATCAACCCCTTCTAGATTCATCATTTGAATCCTTATCAAAAATAAAGTTAAAAAAATTATAAATATTGGAGACACATATATTTCGGGGGGGGGGGGGAANTTGGGGGGGGGGAACAAAAATACTATTAAAGCCTTTAGGGTCACTGCTGACAAAGGTCTGATTTAAAACACTTAAATCAGGTAGATTGCTGGAGGACACTTGAATGTGTTTCGAATAAACGCTTTTGGACTCTCTGTTTCCTTAGATAATCAAACAGGGTTTAATGTTGCCTTCCCTGTGAGTAATTCGTCAAGCTTTGATATCGTTTTTCTTCGCTTAAACAATAACTTGTCATTTCTAATGAGTATATATTTCTTATTTTTGACGTGGAGAATAATAACCTACTTTAAGGGAGGAGATTACAGAGCACCCTGTATAAAGTAAATATTTTATTTATCATTCGTTTTTCTTTCAGGGATAAGAACAAGTGTTATCGAAGTAGCAGATGTTTGTTCGAGCCAATGATAAAGTGTCCCCTCATTAGCTGGTTCATCTTAGCCTTTGGAACAATGATATACATACTTGCACGATGCATGTATAACAGAGATTTCATAAAATTTTGGCAAACAAGTGAAGGACATATTGTTTTGTCAATAGAAGTTTTAATAATTATTTTTGGTTTATACATGGTTTGGCGTCTCATTGATGGTAAGAAACAAAGTTTGCAGCAACATAATCAAAGACCTACAGAATCAAGGGTTTAAGATGTACCTAAATAAATATTATGTAAATAAATGTCATAATTGTAAGTTTTTAACTCTTTTTTTTTCCATATTTTATTTTTTACCACAATAAATCTGCCTTAAAAAATACCAGCAAACGTACTTTAAACCAATGAGTCAGCTCNTTTTACAAGTTTTAATGATAAATCAATGGTTATTTTACAAGTTTCAATGGTTTTACTTCACATGTTGGAAATGATTTGATACAAAATGCATTCGCAAATTTCAGGATGTACCTTTCAAAAACTAGGTACTTTGAAATACTAATGGAAAAATAACTGATGCATTGATACAGACTCACCTTTATTGTGAACTCTATAACTCATAATTCGCTGTTACTATAGCTCCTAACTGAAGGAATTTTTAAGATTAGAAAAAATAATACTTCAAGCATTAAAAAAAGTTGTAGAGTGGTATCATTTTTAGATCGGTTTCTTCAAATCAAAATCGGTTTCTTCTTTTTAGTCTACTTGAAAGACGTTTTTTTTTCTTCAATTTTTTATTTTCTTTATTTTTTTCTTCTTTTTAGTTTTGGGTCTGATAATTTGAAAGAGGTCGAAATTTGAGTTGACGATTAAACGAAGTTTTTAGCTATGAATTTGTATTATAGGAAAGCAAAACAAAAGTTTTAAAATATTAATCTTCTCTTAAATATCAAAAACAAGATAACACAAGTAGGCAATGCAAAGATGTAAAACTTGAGATACATAAAATGTAAAACAATAGTATTTAAAACAAAGGAGATAAGGTTTTTTACAGTCTGATTTACATTTTTTTTTGTTATTGAATCATCGTACGAGTTTTCACTGCAGTGTTTTCTAAAATTGTTTATGTATATAGAATCCATAACAAACATGAATGATTTTATCATATATAATATAAACTTATGCTGAAAATTTCAAACCAATCCCTTGATTATTTCTAAAAAATTTTTGAAAGTCCTTTGCCACCTTAATGTTAGAAAATTTTGCAAGACATAGACATTTCTGTGATCATCCCCTTCTAGATTCATCATTTGAATCCATATCAAAAATAAAATAAAAAAAAATTATAAATATTGGAGACACATATATTTCGGGGAGGAAGAAGCAAAAATACTATTCTAACAAAGGTCTGATTTAAAACACTTAAATCAATTTGATTGCTGGAAGACACTTTAATGTGTTTCGAATAAACGCTTTTGGACTCTCTGTTTCCTTCGATAATCAAACAGGGTTTAATGTTGCCTTCCCTGTGAGTAATTCGTCAAGCTTTGATATCGTTTTTCTTCGCTTAAACAATAACTTGTCATTTCTAATGAGTATATATTTCTTATTTTTGACGTGGAGAATAATAACCTACTTTAAGGGAGGAGATTACAGAGCACCCTGTATAAAGTAAATATTTTATTTATCATTCGTTTTTCTTTCAGGGATAAGAACAAGTGTTATCGAAGTAGCAGATGTTTGTTCGAGCCAATGATAAAGTGTCCCCTCATTAGCTGGTTCATCTTAGCCTTTGGAACAATGATATACATACTTGCACGATGCATGTATAACAGAGATTTCATAAAATTTTGGCAAACAAGTGAAGGACATATTGTTTTGTCAATAGAAGTTTTAATAATTATTTTTGGTTTATACATGGTTTGGCGTCTCATTGATGGTAAGAAACAAAGTTTGCAGCAACATAATCAAAGACCTACAGAATCAAGGGTTTAAGATGTACCTAAATAAATATTATGTAAATAAATGTCATAATTGTAAGTTTTGAATTTTTTTTTTTTCATATTTTATTTTTTACCACAATAAATCTGCCTTAAAAAATACCAGCAAACGTACTTTAAACCAATGAGTCAGCTCTTTGTTTTCTAATTGGATAAGCATTGACCATAGTTATTAATTAGAGGGACTTTAAATGTTCAATTTCTCGCTAGGGGATGCTTAATCACAATAATTTTGCATGTGCTGTGGTAGCTCAAGGGATATAGAGCGTCAGCTTCCCTTTGACTTGACCCATGTTTGAATCCCAGCCGTGGTATGTTAATGCGAATTCCGCTTCCGGCTCTCACCGATCACAGTGTCACTGATCATAGTAGCATCCTCCGTGGTAGACGGATCATCGGTTTATAATCCCCTTGCCACCGACAGAGGGATGTTTTTGTGGAACTCGAATACAAGTTAGTCGTATCAAAAAGTCCTCCACGAAGATAAATTTCTCCCAATACTTGATACAGGAGTTCCTTTGTCTTTTGGATTGGGTTCAAAATTTTAAGGCTACGCAGTTGAACTAAGGTAGACTCAAACTCCAAATTGGGCAGGCTGTTCAAAAACGGTTATAAAATAATTCAAAATAAATATCATATATTGTTTAAAAATTCGCATAAAATTATATGAATCTGTGTAGTTTGAAAGCAAAAACTTTCAAAGCGCAAAATTGAGAGATTAAATACAAACTATTCTGTACTGACTGTCCTTGAAATTTATTTTAAACTTCTTGTTAATTGATTAAAGAAAGTGCACAGATCTTTGGTCACATATTAATATTTGAGCTAGATAAAACAAAAAGCGCTATCAAATTTTAACGAAACATCATTGAAAATATCAAAACAAGTTTGGTTCCCGGGGACAACTGATGTTTAAAGGCAATATTGTCGAAACAACCGCAAATTTCACTAGTCATTCAAACTGGTTTTAATGTTTTTTTTCCACTCTAATGGTTACACAGATTTTGATGCTAATGTATTCAATATTAATTTGCAACCCCTACTGCGCGTATTTCTACACTTTTCATTTTCAACAAGAATTCAAAGAATATATATAAAAAAATGGTTATTACAGAACATCCTGTATAACGTGAATATTTCGTGAAGTATTGCAATAAATTAAGGTGATTGCCTGTAAAGGCGCATAAAGATTGCCAAAGCCTCAAGTATATCCTGATCAAGTATATCAAGTAGAGCCTGATTTATTACAAGGCTCCTCAGGCTTTTGTACTAACGAACAAGTTGATTCAGGAAGATTCAGTCCGAAAATTATATTGATTTTATCACATACAATGCAACTGTTAAACTTTTCTTCTTCCTGTTTGTCCAAATCAGGTCTTGACTGATGCGAGTACTGACATTTCTCTTCCTCGTCTTTATTTAATTTATTTTTCTCACAAGCACCTTTTTATTTAGTTATTTAATTATTTATTTATTTTCAAAAAAAGCCATAAAGTCCTTTCAATGCTACATATTAAAAGTCTTCAGTTAATTTAAATCACAAATGTTATGACTTACAATACAATTTAAATGTGTTAAATATCCCTTTTGTCTCCTGCAATGTGAAAAATTCCGGATTAAATTATTACGGTAAAAAATACAAGCAATCTGATTTATGGTTCTTTTAACCGTAACATTTTCGAACCAAATTAACCGGTATACTGTAATTTTTCTGTATAGCAATACTTACTGTAAAATCACTGCATCGCCGTATAATTTAATAACCATTACTGTAAAAATTAGTGCATAAAGTTTTACAGTAAAAGTAGATTTTTCGGATGATGCACTCAGGGTGCCAGTACTATTTACCGTAATTTGATCCTGAATTTTTCACAGCCCTTACAAGAAAAGAAATTCTAAATTTTTTAGAAATATATGCAGAAATTTTTATCAATATCTTTTTATATGTTCATAATTGATAAAAAAAACAACTGTGCTATCATTAGTTTACATGTCCTTACTGTCCCTTATTATAAATATTATTAAATTGACCGTAAATAGCCACATATTGAATCACAAAGAAATAAATCTTTGTATATGTCTCTTATTTTAAAATATGGGCCATATATTTCCTGCAATTAAAAAATTAAATAGATATTTCATTTAATCTTGTTTTCAATGAATATTTCAATAAATTTATTTCCCATTACTTATTTTTTCAACTCTTTTGAATTATTTTGAATTTTGAACTCTTGGATCAAGTATCGGAAGAAACTCGCCTAGAGGACTTTTCGATGGAACTAGCCGGCATTTGCATTATATGGAGAGAAAAACCTCCCACAGTTAACCTGACGGCAAGAGGACTCTAACCCAATCCATGTACTACCCCTGGGGATATTTTACGTCAGCACTGTGGTCGATGCGTGCTGGGTGCAAAATTCGTATCGACCCGCCATGACTGGGTTTCGAACCTGGTTTACCTCATTGGGACGCGAACGCTCTATCACCTGACCACCACGGCTCCTTTTATTTTATAGAGATAGGTTATAAACTTTCCACTAACAGCACATTTTGAATTAGTAATACTTAAATCAGTTAGCGGCAATAATTTAGATTTAGAAAATTATGGATTTCTTATTTATCGTTGGTAAAGCGTTTAATTAGTTTAAACATTATAAAATTGATCACTACAATATAAAATCTATAACAATATCTATTTATTATCCAGATTAAGAGATAAGAACACGTGGAAACTTTTAAAAGTTATATCTTTTTCATTGTTTTATGCGATGAATCATTTCCCCATGTCCTCATTTATTCTAGAAATTTATTTTGGTTTGCAGAAACTGAATATTTTATATTGTCACTGTCATCTTTGTTTTAAATACTGCGTAAAATTGAGATTCCTTTCTCGTATAAATTTTAAGCATTTGACTGAAATTTATATTTATTTTGATATTAAATGTACATCTTACTTTAATACGGTGGAAAATAATTGCTAGTCGCATAATAGCTCGGGCGTTTTTATTTCACGAAAATAATTCTTAGTCTGAGGGTACGAAATGAAGGTGTGGATTTTCATGTATGAAGAAATAGGCGATTCAGAAATAAATGGACATAACATTTACTTTTATTGGTTAAAATGGCACAACATGTAATATTAATTGATGCTGCAACGGCTTTTCTTTTTAAGTACGCCAGATGGCGCCCTGTATGTTTTTTAATTTTTAGTGGATTGTATTTTGTTTATAAATATTTCTTCGTCCTTAGTTCTCTTCAAGTCAGCATTACTACAAAACACATTAAAATTTATATTATCAAAATAAAACGGAGAGAATTATTTATGAATGAACAAATGATCATTCCTTCGCTTTGAGAACACAACTACTTTGATAGGATTTTGCTTAGGATTGCAAAAGAGTTTGCAAACTAGCTCGACAGGTTTTCAGAAATTTTTAAAAAAGACTAAAAACGCATATCATTCAAGCAATCGTAGATTGTCAAATGATCGGGGGTTGCTCAAATATTATGCTAATGCACCTACCTTATGTAAAATTACCTAAAAAAGAAGCAATTAACGATTTATTTTATTTATTTACTTATTTTATTTATTTATTTATTTTATTTATTTATTTTATTCTATTTATTTATTTATTTATTTATTTTATTTATTTTATTTATTTTATTTATTTTATTTATTTTATTTTATTTATTTATTTATTTATTTTATTTATTTATTTTATTTTATTTTTTGCCAAAATGGCACCACGCTAATACAAAATTCTTCTTCTTTTCTTTGAATCAAAAAAAGAAAAAAAAAATTACCCTTTTTAAACAGTTAAAAAAATAATTAATTAAAAAAAAATTCTCGCGAAACCATTAGGGACCGGGCTGTGATTTGTTTATTTCTTTTTCCGAAGGAAATGGTGTCCAGAATCAAAAATAGCATCATTTTCTCGTTCTTTGTTTTTAATCAATTAAGTTTTAATTGGAAAACCAACTAATTTTTTGACCCTTAATTTTGATAAAGGAAAAAAAAACTATGGTACCCGCTACTTTGTTTTACACGATTGAATTGTAATTCATCAAAAATTAGTAGCTTCTTTTTTCTAAATTTAAACTTTTATTTAAGATTTATTTTCTACATGTCTTTCAAAAATTGAATTGAATTTTGACAAAAGAAGTCTCTGAAACTCAAGAAGCAGTTGATGTTTTTACTACTTTTTTATTTAACTCACTTATAACGAGCTCTGTTTTATCAAGAACCCGGATAATTCCCGATTTTAGCGAGCAATATTTCTGTGATTTATAAAAATTCTACCAAATACCATCACTTCAGATAAGCCTTCATGGAAAGTAGATTATGGCCAAATAGAATTGATCAACTTTCGAAATCTTTTCCACTTTCCGTCTAATTGCAGTGTTTATATATCAATTGATGGACCAGTGTCAGTACAAGTTAAAATTGATTCAAAATAATGCAAAATTTATTACCGTTATCAATATATCAATCACTTTGTAGCATAAGCAGACACAAAACTAGAAAGGAGAAAATTATAAAATGAAATAAAAATGTTAGGAATTTCGCTTTAAAAGTAAACTAAAAAGAGAAAAAGGATTTTATTTTTGCAAAATTTTTTACTCCAATTCCAATTTTTCGACCCTTTTCCAACCTAACGAAACTAACTGACATAAAACTAAAAAGAAGACAATTATAACATGGATAATTTTTTATTTTATTTTAATAAAATAAAAAATTTAAAGACTTCGTTTTGAAAATAAACTTTAAAAGAGAAAATGATTTTATTTTTTGTTACACCTAAAATGAAAAAAGTAACATTTTCATCCCCAAGCTTATATAAAGTAATACAGCCAATATATCTCTTTTAAAAAACAAAATTATTTTCCCATTAAAACGTCATTTTTAATATTAATTGCTCATTAAAATTAAATATAGAAATTAAAGAAAAACAATTAAAAATAAAAAACTGGATCAAGCTGATTTTAAATTAAAAGCCTCTTTTTTAATGGTAAATATTTTTTTATTTCTAAAGCGG